TTTCCCAACTCCCATGAAATAATGCAGCCATAGTTTAGTTTATCAAACACATAAAAATAATATATATAAAGTTAATTGGAAAAGTACTATCATGATCTTATAAACTCAAACTAATGATCCAAGTTCATAAAAATAGACTGAAAATTCTTATTTTTAATGTTGAAAAAATTATCATTGGGAGTACTTTTTTCCCTATAATTCTCTATAGTTTTCTGTTCGCCAAGCATGCACACGCCTCGTATACCAAAAGGGATTTTCTTGATGGGAGTTTGATACATGAGAAACAATCTACTGCAGTTCTTTTGTTATTTTTCATGCGAATGGTACGTGGGGCGTCAGGCCCATACGTGTATGCAAGGCCTGGCTAAATGCTAGGCCCTCCCATAGCACAACGCAGTGTTCTTTTTTTTTTTCTTTTCTCGATCTTTCCCGATGCATGTATGTTCGCCTTTTTTTTTGCGTGGAGACCGTTCCGTGAATAAGGACTTGCCACATGGCTCATCTCTTCGGCGATTAATTTGCAGAGAATTCATGTTATAAGATGTCTTTTTTTTTCTTATATTTTAGAAAACTGCTAAATTTTTTAGTTGTAGCTATAGCCGGCTATAACTGCTCTTAGCTGTTGGAGAGCTCAACCGCTAAGAGGCTTAGCCAGAGATTTAGAATATTGGTGTACACATGTGGCAATAGTGCCACGAGAACCCCTTTGTGAGCTAACGATGAGCAAGGGCGTGAGGTGGTAGGAATTTAGGAATTAACATATGTAAAGTGAGCTCGGTCGAAGAAAAAAGAAGCTAGTCGATTGGTTGGTTAGGGAAGGAGGCAAATAAAAGCAGTTGGATTTGAAGTTTTTAATATAACCATCGAGCATCGACCGAGAGATCCACTTTGATCACTTAAACACAACTTAAAAACAAAATTATTAGCACGAATATTAAGAAATGACCTAACATTAAATAATTAGAAGGGGTAAAGCTTCGAACCTAGGTCGTCTAGCCCACCACCTTGTGAAGCTAGCCGGAAGATCCACGTGTGTTTCTCATAAAAAAATAATCAAATGATTATTATTGCAACATCATGTGAAAACAAATACATGACAACATCGTCTTCATCAGTTAATAGAACGAATCAAACAAATCAATCAATGTCCTAACAAGAAAAGAATCTAACAAGGAAGAAAAACAATTAGCATATCCTAGCTACTGCATTGCATATACAACAATAATCCTATGGTTATTGTTGGTTAATTTAATTAACAACAACGCTGGCTATCGCCTTCCTGGCCACCGATTTGGCCCAAAGCCTGAGCATCTCCTTCATGCCGTCCTCCCGGCTCCGCGGCCGCCCGCCGCGCCGGAGCCGCGCCTCCTCCTCCCGCCGCGCCGCCGCCACCATGTCCACCGGCACCGCCTCCTCCAGGAACGCGTCGACGGCGAGCAGGTGCACCGGCGGCGCCTCCTCCTCATCGACGCCGACGCTCTGGTGGTGGTGGTGCCAGTGCTCGTACTCGTACCCGGCCATGGCCAACGCCTCCAACGACGGCCTCGCCGCCACCGCCGTCTTCCTCGACTCCGATCCGACGTCACGCGCCGCCGCCGTGACGCTGCCCAATTGCTGCATAAGTTGGTAGAGAGCTAGCTAGCTAGAGCTTGACGATTTGGAAATTAATTAGTATGGTTATTGCATGCTGAGCTAGCTAGCTCATTGATCAGCTGGTATTTATAGGAAACGGATCATAGACTATACTCCTAATTAATCATATGGTGGTCAAAGTCGAACTCAGATCATATAATTAAATTAATTAATTAATTAATTACCGGGACATGTCAATGGCTTGAATTGTATAACAAAACGCATGTGCTGTTTCGTGAGATGAATTCCGACTCGACTCAGGGGGAGGGGAGTACTGTCACGGGTTGGCTTGGAATACGAACTTTCTTGTCCTAATCCGGCTAGTAGTAGCTTCTTAATTAGTAAAAGTAGCTTAACCTGCTGGTAATTAAGCTAGTCGTAGTCGGGTCGCCCCCAGTTGTTTCCGTATTTGGCCGTGGTTCATGTGAGCTAATTAAGCTAGCGCTAGCTAGCCCTGAACAGGTGATCACGTACAATACCATCATGGAGACGACGGCGACGACGTATGTACGTACGTGTTGTCGCCTGCTAGCTTGCTACGTCGTCTCTACTTGGGTCACGCCTATACATTAATTCGTACTTATGTACGTTATGCTTAGTTGTCTTTTATTAATTCAATCAATTAAAAAAATAGCTAGTTAGCTTTGACCAGTGATATTTGTTTTATAACCGAAAGTGCTTTACTAAAAATGTTCCCTCCATTTCAAAATATTCCAAAATAAGTTCATTTTTTACTTCATCAGTTTGTACCAAAATAAGTTCATTCCAGAATACATTCTACTACTCCCTCCGTTTCACAATGTAAATCATTCTAGTATTTTTCACATTCATATTGATGTTATGAAAAATACTAGAATGATTTACATTGTGAAACGGAGGAAGCAGTTGCTAAGCTGGGCTGAAGAACACACGTGCATGCGCACGTGTGGTTATGAACACACTTGACGCACGTGTGGAGATTCGATCTTGATCGATCTCAAGTTGCAGCCGGCCGGCCGCCGGCGGCGAGCCGGAGACGGAGGCATGGTGGAGAGGGAGACACGACATACTATGCTTTTGGCCGGGAAGATATATACATATATATGCACGGTCATGAGCAGATCAATACTAATTTTGACATGCCTAGATCTTGGCTGTGGTCAATGCTCTGAAAATTAAGGAGGGAAAAATGTTGGCTGATCAACTGGATGTAGCTAGCTGCACACGTACGTACGTGCGAATGCAAGCTGGGATTGACTCTTGACTCTCGAGGCTTCAAAACGGTTGTCGATCGGACTTGATCAGGATTTTACCGACCGTGAGTGAGAGAGTCTTCCGACGAAAACATCGGATCACTGTGGGCTCTCCGGAAACCTGCTGCTGATCGATTGTTTTTCCCTGCACGAAACAGGACAGAACGTATCTATAGAACTTTTATATACCCCCTCCGTCGCAGTATAACTACAGCTATAGGACATATCTCACATACTACCTCCATCTCATAGAAAAAAAACCAATCTATTATTAGATGTGACACATCCTGATGTCCAGATTTACTGGGATATCTAGTACTAGATTGTCTTTTACAGGATGGAGTAAGTACCAAGTGAGAAGGCAAATAACTTGAATACCCCTAATAAATTATTTATGAGAAAGAAAGACAGATAGAATAATATTCACATAGCAATGATGAGTATATAGTGGTGAAAATACATCTACAGAACTATTACTACACCAAGCACGCACGGTGGGAGGCAAATAATACACAAATAAAACAAATCCACAGCACTAGTCGCTAGAACTAGTAAGCGTAAAAAATTACAAATTATCTCAACAGTAACCTCAAATATAAACTATGATGTTTGGATCTTGTATCTCCGGGATAAAGAAGGCGCCGTCTCCCACTGGTGCATCCTCTGAATCAAGGACATAGGGGCCAATAATGTCCACTTCTTGCGTCTCCGACTCAGACATAGTTCGTATCCACCCAGTGTCTTCCTCCTCCGAGTCGAGGACGTATAGATTGTCGTCGAAGTCCACATGAAGGTCACCATGACCGTTGATCAAGCCTCACCTGATTCCTAAGCCGACGCACCCACGCCTCCAACCATCGCGTCTACGAGTGATGTTGTTCGATTCTCATGGTTTTCACCGCCACCGCTCTCTCAACCCTCACAGCAGGTTCCCCTCTACCGTCGTCAGACATTGTGTCGAAGTGGGTAGAGAAGGAAAGTGGATGAGGAAATAGCCAGAGAGGAGATGACAGGATAAGTCGATGAGAGAGCTAGAGAGAAGATGAGTGGGTGAAGAGAGAGAATGGGAGAGGAGAGACCCAAGGTGGCCGACGATGGGTGGTACGGAGGCATCTTGTATATGTCACTATAACCCAATGCAATAATTTTCAGTCCAAACAAGATGAATGTAGTCCTCCATGATTATTAAATGTGTTCTCGTAAAATAATAAATACATCTTACATTATGATAGAATATTTATCATAAAATGTGTTCTCGTGAAATAGTAAATGTATCTTATGACTATAAATATATCCCTCTAAAATATAATAAATGGGTTTCACCGTGATAGACGGGGGCGCCTTGGACACTATTGGATAGTACGTATGTATATCTAAATAACCAAAATCTAATAACTACTACCTCCGTCCCAAAATATAAAAACCTAAAATCGGATGAAACATTTCCTAGGATCGAAGCTATCCAGATTCGTAGTTATTCGTAGTACTGGGAGATATCTCATCCAATTATAGGTTATTATATTTTGGGATGGATAGAATATATATTGTTACATGTAGTTATATTTATACGTTATTAGTAGTAGGGAGTTTCTTTTCTTTTTCTTTTTTTTTTGGGGAAATCGTAAGGAGTTTCTGATGAAAGGATAGTGTCTTACTATCATTCAACCGCCATCATATATAGCCGCAGAACCTGTCATGAGAAACAGGCTACGGGCTTATACCATGATTGCAAAACATGCCAATTGCCAGGTAGTTGTGTTCAGCAATGATCGCATACACAGCCTAAAACAGGCTGAAACCACAGGCAGGCAAAGATCCGTCTGTTGACTCTTCTTCTCCGTCTGCCTCCTCCGATCGGATCTCTGCTCGATCCGATCCCCGGTGTCACGGGCTCGCTGATTCGTAGTAGACCAAAGCCAAAGAAGCTCCGACCTTCTAGGAGAAACCGCGACGCGGGTCGGTTTCCAGCACACACAATCGTGCGGCTCAGTTTCTGTTTGATCTTTCGTTTTCTTCCAGATTTGACCACCTTTTGCAATTTTGGAGGCCAGTTTCTTCAGCTTGACCAATCCATAATTAGTTGATTAATCCTAGAATTCAACCAATAGCAAGAACTAGGAGAACTGGGCTTTTAACTTGGAATCAACAGATACCTCATTCTGATCTCATAGTTTCGTCTTGTTACGCCAATGGAGACTTTCTCACAGTGAAGCTGAACATGGCAGGGAATATTACATGTCACAGATTTGTACAGGGAAATGGACCATGGGGCAATGCAAAATAAAGAAGTGGGCGTAAGGGTTGCACTCAGCGGATCATTCTGCTCTATATCTAAATAAAATCCTATGGTAGTAAGACAGCCTTTCATTCTCCCCGTACTTGTACAAACAAAAGTGAGATTCGAATGCCCCTCTACCGAAAAACTGAAGCTACATCCCACTGTGTAATAAACAAGCTAACTTGAGAGAGCCAATTACAAGTACTCGGGCTACTCTTTGATGCCATCTCCCGGTGTTTCATTGACCGTGCTGGCTTGTTCAGACTGTATCTCTTTGTATTCGCCAGTTTGTTCGTCATACGAGTACCTGAAATACATGGTAGATAAAATAAGCACATGCAGTTCTATAAGTTAGTGTTGGTAGTTGTAGAGAACTGTAATAAGGATTTGGTAATTAGGAATTCATATTGCTACAATTGAAGTTATTTAATAATATGCAGCTTTATTGTATACCAAGTGCATGGGGAAAATGTATTTTCGCTCTGAATGCACCCACACACTCAACTAGTAAGATGAGCTCTCGCCATCAAAGTTTGTTTGAAGGAATATTAATTGAATGGCCATGTGGCACATACCCATGTCTAAAGAATGAAGCTAAAATATGTAATAACTGGCACATGGATATCAGGATGTTAGTGGGCATAGTAACATAGGTAATGAATCATAGATGCTTCACAAGCAACGGTCAGTGCTAAAATCAACCATATGGTATTCCATTTTTCAAAATGACGTGAACACATGCAGAACACAGATATGGGTAAAATGGGAAACAATATATTATGCTATACTCTAAATTGCATGGATATCATTTCTCCAGAAATTTTCATAAGGATTTAGAAGTTGAGTTAAAGAATATTGTCCCATGTATCTCAACTAAGCTGTAAGCTGAATAGGAGGCTTAAATGTCAACTTGAAATCATTCCACACGAAAATAGGCAATGGACTACTTCAAGTCGTTCATTGGCTACCAACATTCTACTTCAAGTTGGTCACCAACAATCCATCCTTTGGCAGATGTTAAACCCTGTCATGAATTGGGTTCATGGCACCCAAATACACAATTGTGATAAAAATGGGGCCTCGACGTAAGTACTTAAAAGGGGAACTGTCCAGCATACAGATAGTGTTATTGCATCCAGAAGGAAACAGCCCACGCAAAAACTAACCAATGCCATTGCATGTAAATGAAAGATGGAGAATAATACCAGGCTCCTGTAGATGCAGAGCAATAACATCCAGATGTAGAATCATAGTAATAGCCCGTGCTACTGCTATAGTAATAACTGCATAAAAACGGGAAAGCAAATGTAACTAACATAACCTAACTATTCAAAAATTACAGCATTGGCTGCATAATTTTGTCGTAATGCTGATAGTAAAGAAAACCAGAACTGAGATACTCAAATCGGCTGTAACAGTTGAGTATGGTAGCATAAATTAAAACCTGTAACCTACCCTGAAGTTGGATCATAAACATAATCTGAGCTCACACTTCCATTCTCACCTTCTGCAAGGAACAAAAAAAAGACTAATCAAAACAGAAACAACAGTTGTTAAAAGTTACAAAGGAAATGTGTCACGTTCGTGTTGCTTAGCAAGCACAAATAGAAATCAGCAGCATATCACAACTTACTCTCTGCACCTGAGGTTTCATTAGCATCGTGAGATACTTGTTCAGGATTCGAACCTGAACCTACAGCATTTGCATCAGAATCACGTTTGACATCGGTCTTGTCATCATCGTCACCAAACATGTCAAAGTCACTGTCATCTTCCTTAGATGTGGTGGTGGTTGTAGAGGTATGGGCAGCTGAAGGACCAGGCTCCATATCCAGTAACGAGGCAGTGGTTTTATCTTTTGGACTGTCTGCAAACATATCTTCTTCAGCTTCTGGCAGACCAAGACGAGCACGTGCCAGACGTTCATAACCCGCTGCAAAAGCATGAAAATTGAAGCACATAAGAAGGTGCAATCCCTGTTAAGATACATTTCTAGAATAATTTGCATAATCACTTAAAATACAATGTACATACAGCCACAAGACACTACTGATAGAACTGGTACACAAGTAACTGCACTGTTTTCAGTTCCACAATCTCTAGATGCTGCTCTCTTTTTTTTGGCACTTTCTATCAATTTCTGTAGTGGATGCATCTTTAACTGGTGAAACATGGTGTTCTTATATGTTTAACTGCCCAGTGAAGTTAACTAATAGATTTATATCTACCACCAGTATACATGAACATGATAACATGAAGCTTTTATTCAAAAGGAAATCAATGCCCCAATGACGTGTGAACAGCCCAGGGGCTGTCGGATTGTACTTCATGTTCCTTTTCAACTAGGTCAATGTATGCATGTATTAACTGCAGCAATGCAGAGAATCTGCTTCTACTAGAAGAAAGAGAATCAGAGCATCTCATCAACGCAGCAAGCAAAACACCTATGGACTCGACATGCTTTTTTCTAATAATGTCAAAGAACTGAAAGCTGCTGTCAAGCACCCACATTTTGCATGTGCATTTTACAAGAAAACAAGCTCAATATTTTTGGGAAATTCAAATACCAAAGTAACCACATAGGCAAAAAAATATCTCTTTTACACAAACATGATGAGAGTGACACAATTTTCATACACATGGAGAGAAGTAAAAAAAAAAAACTCATGAGTACTACCTCCATCCCAAAATATAGCTACTTCTGGCTATGCACCTGAACAAGTAGCTATATTTTGGGACAGAGGGAGTCAAATTTAAGAAATGGAAAGTAACAAAAGTAGAAACATTAGAAAGGGAACATAACAACCGCAAAACAGAAATCAAATTAGCTAGTGATTGGACACTAACCAGCCTCACGTTCAAAAGTCTCCCGATCATCTGAATAAACATCTACATTGAAACATATAAAGATGTAAAGATGATGCAAATCACTATAAGGCTACACAACGTAATTGCACACTGAAATGACTAACAGAAGGCTAAGAGCTAAACAGAATGAGAATCAAGCATAAAAGAAGCACATACTATACTCTCCGTTCTCCATTAGCTTCATGGCAGCTTCTGTCAACTCATCAAAGATACGTTTGGTCCCCTCAGTCATCTTGCCACGCTTATCACTGGATGTATTCTTCAATCTTTTCAAAGCTTGTATTATCTGGCAGGGAATTGTCGAAAGTATTAGTAGGCACAGAAGTTATTGATACAAAAGACTCTACATGATTCTTTTACATAAAATTCTTGTTTTACATAAAAATCTAACCATAAGGTGTCCTCTACTGTTCCCAGTAAAAAGAACATGTTTCTTTTGTCTCGCGACAATTTTTTGGTTCATTCAGTGTTTCTGCTTTATTAGGGTATGTTACGATCCTTAGACCTTGGGAAGTCAAGAACTCAAGATGCAACAATGATGTGAGGAGCACATAATGTTACGACCAGCAAAAGAATGTCCCATTAATAATAGGTATCACAAAGCCAAGTAAATATCATGTGGAGAAGCAACACACCATTATTATGCATTAATAACTGACACTTTCTCAAGTTTTTCAAGAATACTAGTAAGCCTACACTCTAGAATCAGAATAGCAAAAACATATGTTCCTAGAGATTGCTAAGCAATGAAAGTCACAATTTACGGGGAATTCGTTTGGCATAGATATGCTCTTTTTTACACAACAGGGAGAAATATGCAGGAAGCAAAGGATGTGCATGTAACTTCGCTCAGTATTAAGCTGACATGATAGCATGATGCAACAAACAACATTGTCCTTGGTGCAAGTTGGGTTGAATAGTTCGAGCATAGCATCAGCAGCAAAGATTTATATGCAACCACTATATCAGGCTATCAGGTTTAACTCTTTAAGATAATGGATAACTACAGTTAAAAATCACTAAATTTGGACAGTCATATAAGGCTCCATTTGGAAATCTGGTGCCTTTTTAAGAGCAATATCATTTTCCCCATAATTGGTACAACAATTGATTCAAAGCACCTTTTCTGGAGACTTAAAAGAAAATTCTTACTAGAATTCCCATGACTAATAGATTCGGTGGCATAGAACAATAACCCCAAACTTACCACAATACGGACAGCACAGATTGATCTATATCCAACATCAAATAAAAGAGAGAATTTGATAGCATAACAGGATTAGGGATTTAGGGTCAGTGTTCAACTCATTCAAAAGAATTAGGTGCTTTTACAATATCATTTGATGCCTAAGCACAGCATAGTTGCTTTAACATTTCTTACTTCTTAGCTAAAGGCATTTATTTGGTTACAAAGAGGCAAATATTAGATAGGGTGATAACTTCACATATACATAAAAACAATAGACACTCAAACATACCGTTTCGCCTGGCTCAAGTATGTTTGATATTCTTCTTTTTATCTTTCCAATATCATCGGATGAAAGATCCTGGAACTCCTCTTCTTTCTCTTTCTCTCTCTTCTTTTGAACCTTTTCAGCATACTTTGTGTCAACTTCAACACTATCCAACCAGGCATCCTACAGAAAATAAGTGCTTGCATCACTCAACTATAATTAAAATTACATGATTGCAATTTGTAAAATTTAAAACATAAAAACAGCAGCACCTTGATGTCGTTGCCCCTTGCGTACTCCACAAAGTTTCCGTTTTCGTCAAAATATCCTTCCTCCCTCTCTTGTTCCAAGTTAAAAGGCTCTAGTCGAATGCCATCATCAACCAAATTTGCACTATCCTGTTGAACATCAAATCAGTGTTATCCAACAATGATAGCCAGGTGGATAGCATCAAAGTCATGGCTCAACATTCATATGATATCAAGAAAAAGAATGAAGCAGAGAATAGTGTTTTCTAACTCAGAATATGAAGGGGGAAAACATATGCACTATAAAATGGTTCCTTAGTTCACAGTACTCATTCAAGTAGGATAAAAAAGTTGCAGCAACATTAACCAGGACTCAGACATCCATAACAAAAGTTCCCATCTTAATCTTAATGCATTTCCACTGAAGTATCCCTGCAGCCTCTTTGGTTTAAGTGTAATCCCGCATGCTCTTAGGATACTAAACTTGTTCAGTCTACTGAATATTTCCACAAAATGCCAGGTTACAAAAATTTACTCCAAAAATACGTGCAATTCCAACACTAAAATCATCTGCATAGCCAGCTAACTATATCCAATCCACGAAGCAGAACAAGCTTAGCGACTTCAGTCCATAGAAAGCACGGCCTACCTCGTATCGCACTTCGAATCCCCTGACGTCGGAGGCGACTCCCTGCTGGTCATCCTCGTCCTTGCGGTGGCGTCGCCTCGCGCGCCGCTCCGCCGCGAGCTCGGGGTTTATCAAGCCGTCGATGCCCTCCGCCGCGGCGGCTGCGGCGGGGTCCCGGTACTTGGCCTTCTTCCCCTTGGGGAACCGCGGCTTGCGCTCCCTGCCAACGTCACACCCGAACTCCATAAGAACCACACGCAGGGGGGAGGCAATAACGCCGAAACCCTAGCCGGAGGGAGAATCTCCTAGACGAAGGGGGGGAGTAAGCGGGAGGGGAAGAGGGGCTGGACTGTGGGGGGGTTACCCGGGAAGAGCGCCGTCGTCGTCGTCTCCGCCGGCGGCGTCGGCGTCGGCGTCGGCGTCGGCCGGGAGCGGGCGCTTGGTTCCCCGCGGCGGTGGCTCCATGGGTCGGCGGCGAGCGGGGGTGGCGGCGGAGATGACGTCAGCAGCGAGGGGGCAGATCGGTGGGTGGGTGCTTGTCAGATTGTGGGCCGTGCACCGTGCGTGGGCTCTCTGCTTTTCTTTCTTTCTTTTTTTTTTGTTCTCTCTCTTCGGCTCTGTTTGGAGCTTTGGATGGGAAGAAGCAGAACTGAAGAAGAAATCAGAGTTTTTTTAACTAAAGCCTTTTTAACTTGGAACAAGAGAGGGAGGAGGATATTTTGACGAAAACGGAAACTTTGTGGATTATGCAAGGGGCAACGACATCAAGGTGCTGTTGTTTTTATGTTTAAAGTTTACAAATTGCAATCATAGAATTTTAATTACAGTTGAGTGATGCAAGCACTTATCTTCTGTAGGATGTCTGGTTGTATAGTGTCGAAGTTGACACAAAGTATGTTGAAAATGTTAATTTGACTATACGTATCTCAAAATATCCTTTCTCCCTGTCTTGTTCCATTTTTCTTACTTGTTAGATACACGCCTATTCCTAGAACCCCACATGTCAGACTTACATCCTTTTCATTTCACTGCACATTTTTATTCTTCGAATGCGTATTCTATCTATCCTTCCGCCTTGCTCTATTTAGCTGTTCTTCATCAGCACTTGTACCTGGCACGTCTTCATCGTCTCTCCGCTCCCACAGTCCCACTGGCCCTCGCGCTGTGTGGTGAGGAGGGAAAGAGATAAGGGTGAGGAAGAGGAGAAGGGTGCGCGCATGCGTGGAGATAGAGGAGGCGGGGGGCGGGGGCGCGCATGATAGGAAGCCGCATCAACGCCTCCATGACCACGAGTCCACACCATCTCGGTGGTTTCTCTGACGTCGCCACCGTCGCCAACATTTGGGGATCTCGGGAGACGCCAGATCTGCCTCCCTTTGTTCCTCTCCTCGATCTGACGCCACCCCCTCCTCCTCAACTGCGGCCATCGCCATTGCCACAGGTGACTGCCAACCCGATACGTGCATTATTGTCGATCCCCCTGGTCCTCACGTGCGTCTTGCGTCCCCTCCTCCGGCGGCCGTGCTCTACTTGTTGAATTGTGGCCGTATCGAGGCTCCTCATGCCACTGCCACGGTATCTTCTTGAATTGCGAAAAGTACAAACTTATTGACAGGATTCAGGGGCACCTGGTTACACATGATCAGCTACAATGACTAGTTCAGAGGTTTGAAAAAGGTAGTGCAGACGAGGAGACGATGCAAGAGGATGGAACTAAATTCAAGGAAGATTGAGTTGATTCAGCTAGCAAATGGAAATACAAGCTCATCCAAGACAACATGGTGAGAGACGTAAAACTCTACCACACTGGACCGATCCAAACACTTTGGCCCTGTTTAGATTCCAATTTTTTTCTTCAAACTTCCAACTTTTCCGTGACATCGAATTTTCCTTCACACACAAACTTCCAACTTTTTTGTCACATCGTTCAAATTTCTTCAAACTTCCAATTTAAGCGTGGAACTAAACACAGCCTTTGTACCCCTTATGAATGATTGAATATTAGTGTACCCAAGGAATACACAACAACGAGAGCAAAACTCCAACTAGAGTATTTATCATGTTTTTTGGCACTCAAATTTTTTTCATGTTTTTGGCACTTAAAAGGCCGGTGTTTGACTGTGGATAACTTGCAAACTAAGCCGACCACACCAAGGCCAATGGTGTAACCTGGAGTTCCTTTTGGCATATGTTCTTCAAATGTTCCCACACAAGAGAGTTATGGACTGCAACATCTCTATTCTCTGCTCATTGGTTATCACGTACGGCAGTTACCTGCTGAAGGGGATCTGATTTCGTGGTGGTTGCCACACGAAAGAAGTTGTCAAAGCTAGAGTATAGAGGTAGGTATTGATGCTTTGGTCATTCTTTTTACCTGTCTGGTATGGAAGGAACACAATTTTGAGGCCAAGGAGCGCTCACTCTGCAACTACAGCTTGGCTAGTGGAGAACTTTATGCGAAGCTGGACTCCGAATTGGAGATGTATCGGGAGAAGTAGGTTAATTTGTAATCTTCTCTGCCAGATGCTGCTAGATGTAGATAGAAGAGCCTGTGTCGGCCGGCTTCCCTTCAAAGAATCCTAGTTGGTTACCGAACCAACAAACATGTTTATTGACCAAGGCCTTGTTTAGTTCTCAACTTTTTCTTCAAATTTTCAACTTTTCCGTCACATCGTTTCAATTTCAATCAAACTTCTAATTTTGGCATGAACTAAACACACCCTAACAAGCATAATCAGTGTTTGAGGATTTGGCCAACAAGCTAGTACAAATGAAGGTACGGAAGTATGAATAATCAGTAGATTTTTTTTACAGCCCAGCAGTAAGAAATGCGCCATCCCAGAATCTGACTGCCATTGAAGCCTGAGCAACAAGTGCGAGCCCAAATTAGCCTTTACGGGCTTCTCTGTATTTGTAAATCCTACATATATCAGCTACTGACATAATCCCAGGCAATTACCATGTTCATGTTTACAGAAGATTACAAACTATGTGTAATGGTTTGCTCTCCTTTAATTGCCTGCTACATACTTAAACCCGTGAATGTAGTACAGCTTGTTGCCTGCATCTTGGAATGATGTGCCCATGGGAGTATTTTGCCAGAAGATATCACAGAGCCCTTCGTGGAAAGAAAATCGGTATCCTTCCAGGTCTAGCTGAGCTACTAACATCAAATTATGTTCTGAGCCAGGTACGTAGTATACCTTTTTCAGCTTCACTTTGTCTGACTTTTTCTGACCTTATTGTATTACTTCAAGCGGTTCTCCTTTTGGCGTGTGCAGCATCTTATCAACCGGATGGTACTTCTGGGAATCCTTTCCTAGAACCGGTCAAATGATGGGGACAGGCAGAGTCCAGGATCCATGTCTGCAATTGATATTCATAACATGGATCAAACAAAAAGAAAATGCATGATTAATATGATAAAACTGATAAATGACATATATGTATGTTATCTGAATATCACGAGTCTGTTCTCAATGTGCGGTCGATTGCATGCATCCGGCGAATGTGGATTGCAGAGTTCCTGTGATTGGATAAAAAAATCCAAGTCCAAATTCATAGGTAAGCTAGCAACTGGAATTTTTGTTGAACCGAAATTGATTTTTAATTGTAGGTTTTGTGTTCGACTGTAGATCCGGATATTTGCGCGTTAATTCATGATGACTGTAAATCAAATTGCAGCTTGCTAACCTGATTTGTAAATCAGATCGCCCGACATTCCTCCATCCATCATCTACTTTATCACGCGAGAGTGCATGGTGATTATGCTTATACTGTTTGTATTTTACTCATAAGAATAAAAATCCATTTAAACTATTTACTGAAATGTTGTGTGCAGATGGGGATGTTATTCCACTTCTTACCATGAAAATAACTGTCTGGTGCTTTGTTCTTCTCTTATAGTTGGTGGGCCTAATGTTCGATTCTTAGTCTTTCAACTGCATTATTTAAAATGCAAACAGTAGAGATATATACCAGAAGTTATATTATGTTTTTTTACCCTATCATTCCATTATATTGGTGTACCCAACATGGTCACTTAAAGCATTGCATGGACACAACCATTGTCCGTGTACATTTGGTGTAAACTTTGAAAGATGTTTACTGACAAACAATTATTTGAGTTCCTTGATACATTACTTGACTTTAACACCGGTACTTCCTGTTATGCAAATCTTAACAATAAATGCATTATTGTAGATGAGATGGTTAAGAAAGACCTGAGCCATATGTCCCTGGTGGCACACTATAAGGAGAACCGCTTTGCGACGTGATTCATGGTGGCGGTGAGCTATTGCTATATGTGGTAATTTAAGTCAAAATTAGAGTGATATTGCTATATGTGGTAATCTGGATGTTAAATATGATTTTCACTCAATTTAAGGTGTCGACTATTGCGAGACATAACTCAGCTAACCAAGGAAATTCGGTGGCACTAACTGAGGTGTTCAAGCACAATAGCATTGATAATGCACTGCAAAGTGTTGTTGGACACAAGAGAAAGGTGCATGATCTAACACCAAAGGAGAATATAGGACGTGAAGATACACATTCTAGGGCAAAGAAGATTGGGAAGGCCAGACCCGATTCTCCATATGCTAACTTCACCAATAGCCAACTGTTAACAACTTCCCGGTTCTAGCTCAAGTAAATTGCCCCTCACTCCCTCTCTCCATCTCTTAATTCTTTTTGCAATCATATGTGGACAATGTATTATATTTAGGTGATTAATGAGTACAGGAGTTCTAGCAAATGAATATTAATCCCAGTGATATGCTTTGTAGGTGTTGCTGCTGCATCTGTTTATTCTTAAAGAACTATAGTTCATGAGCTCAATCTTGTTTGTGTAAATAATAGGAAATATGCATGGTATGTTATGAATTACTATGAAACTGGTTCTTATATTTTGATGGCAATGGATGTTATGTTATGGCCGGGATTAATTCCCATACTTTGCCCTGCAAGGTTGGATGAAAAGATGTTGGTTTACCTCTTCTCATGTTGTGATTTGCCACTTTGCCCTCTAATCGCCATGTGCAAGATGATGTCTAACATGACTTTGTAGCATGGATATGATAGGCACCTGAATGCAAATGTATATATTGCAACACGCATGTGTGTGTGTATATATATATATATATATATATATATATATATATATATATATATATATATATATATATATATATAGAAACTTACATGTTTTTCTTTTGCAGGTCCAAATGCATGGACAGGTTTTGGTGTAATCCATTCTCAGGTTGTGTTTTTCCTCATTGCAAATACATGCGAGCCTCACAGGATGACAGGGGCAAGCCACTCAGTAGATCAATGATGTTTATTGTCTTGTAAATCATAAATATACCATTGATTGTGATAGCATATCTTACAAACTTAATTACCATTGAGATGATTTGTGAACCACTTAATGTGCGATTGAATTGGAATTGGGAATTATTGTTCTATATTGTTTTTGGAGATATATGTGATGTGTTATGTTATTTCCTGTTAAAACATTCATATGGTGGGATGAGCCTATATATGCATGTACTGTACTATTTGAGGCATTTTAATAATGTGCCTAAAAAGAAAAGTAAAGGCATTGTAAAAAATGCCTTGAAAATAAATTAGGGGCATATGTTAAAATACCTCGGAAGAAATTATTGGCACAAGTCCAAATGCCTCAAATGTGTATAAAGGCATTCTAAAAAGTGCCTCAAATGTGTTTAAAGGCAATCAAAAAGTGCCTTCATCTATACTTATGAAGGCATTTTAAAAAAGTGCCTTAAAATGAAAATGTCTTTCCCTACAGCATTATATCCAACACTTTTTTAAGTGCCTTTTTTAAGTATTGAAGGCATTTTTTTAATAGTTGAGGCATTCTTAAATGCCTCCAAATCCTATCCATCCTGTAGTGGTTCCTTGATACATTACTTGACTTTAACACCGGTACTTCCTGTTATGCAAATCTTAACAATAAATGCATTATTGTAGATGAGATGGTTAAGAAAGACCTGAGCCATATGTCCCTGGTGGCACACTATAAGGAGAACCGCTTTGCGACGTGATTCATGGTGGCGGTGAGCTATTCTGTGATGTAATGTTGGGTACTATGCGATATGTGACTCATGTGTTCTCAAGTCTCCATCTCATAGCTTCTGTGTTCTATAGTGATATTTTTAATTGGTGTGACAATGATGCATGTGCACTACAAATTGCTCAAGTACTTTGATGTTTGTCGATGACTCCAGAATAATCATGTGATATTTTATTTCATCTATATTACAAATTTTTGCTGTTCCTGGTACTAATATGTGAAAACTATAAAGATGGTGAGTAATTATTGTTTGCGACAAAACAAGGCCATTGCAATGAAGTTGCATTCAAATGGTTATTTGACATTATTTAACCGTGTGATTTGAAGTTCATACATAACCTTTTTAATTTGTAGTTTATTTGATTTGCCCAGATTTTTTTCTGTGTACAGGATGACCTTTGGCAATCAGTTCTTACATTCTATGAGCCTTTCCATTTCTTCTCCTTTAATTTATGTTCGAGTCTGTTACAGTTACAAATGTGCATGCATCCTAGCACCATTTTGTGGTGAGCAATAATTTCTGTACCATGTTCTTCAGGGAGTTACTGATTGTGGTAAATTGGAGGCTTCTACAGTTGCTGTCACTTTTTAATTAATCATGTTGTGTACTCCCTCCGTCCTATAAAAAACCAACCTAGTACTGGATGTGACACATTCTAGTACTACGAATCTGGATATACATCTGTCCAGATTCATTGCCCTAGAATATGTCACATCCAGTTCTAGATTCATTTTTTTTCGAGACAGAGGGAGTATGTGCTATATCTATACATGTTGAAGTGATGCGTAATGTAGTCATGTGCTAGGGAGAAAATAATTGAGGCAGATATATTCAAGCTCAGCAAATTAGTTTTTATTTTTCAATGCACGCTAGTTTCTTGGTGCATATTGTAGTTAGGGCCTCTTTAATTTGTAGGATAACATAGGAAATATGGAAGATTTTAATCGCATAAAAAAAACAATGAAGCCATTTGAAACAAAAGATCGGATCATATCATTTCCTTTGAAAATTTATATGAAATAGATAATCCTATATATATTTTGGATTTTCTTTGAAATTCTATGAAATGGACAATCCTAACAAAGATTTTCAAGGAAAGCTAGCAAGAGATTTAATTTCTTAGAAAATTTCCTTTGTGACTTTCTCATCCGGATGTATTTTTCCTACGGATCACTCAAATGATCATTCCTTCATTTTTTTCTATGTTGCAATTCTCTGTTTCATACTTGCATTTCTATCAAAATTATGGTGGTGTTTGAATCTCCTGAAGATGAAGATGAAGATGAAGATTTCACGCAAAACGAGATGGTAATAACGTGTGATTAATTAAGTTTTAATGATTACAAACTTGAAAAATGGATTAATCTGGTATTTTAGAACAACTTTCATATATAAAGTTTTCGCACGAAACACACCGTTTAACAGTTTAAAAAGCATGCCACGAAAATCCAAAACTTTAGCAGTTTTGCTTATTCCTCTTTCTTTTAATCTCGCGTTTCAAGAAGGGCCTTATTTTATTTAGTTGAGTCCAAGTACCGGTTTAGCATTGGAGACATAATTTTATCATTGTAATATGTGTTCAATGTGTGAGTTGAGAATTTGGAGAACTCTGAACGATAGAGGAAATACAAACAAATCTTACTTTAGGAGCAGGTGATCCATGTCAAGAGGTGTGTTTCCAAAGAGATGCAAGATTGGGACAAATCGATCAAGGCGAAGTCCTGTTTCCAGCGACATATAAAATTGGAATTGACGCATACCTTTTACCTTACACAGATTGTGCCATAATTATTATTTGTGCTATATTAAGGTTTTCGGTGCAACAAATTCATTCGATGATGATTTAACATCTTTTTCATCCGATATGATTTGGAATTGATGCATACCGGACGGGCACCATGCTCAAAGAGACGAAAACCAACAACACATCCCTGGTTTCATCAAAATCCTGTTAAAAGCCCATATTCACGTGCATAATATTCGTAAGCATCAGGATATGAACCATAGTTGGTAGAGTCATGCATCCATGACTTCACCACCAAACCACCGATGTTGAAAAAATGGAACAATTTTGAGGGGCACAACATCTGGATATATCTTATCTATCCTAAATTTGATTTCTCAGAGAAACCACGATGTTTATATAGGCTGTTCTGCCCGCTGCCGTCTGACTTGGGCCAAGGCCTTTCCGAACCTTAGGCCTCGTTTAGATCTAAAAAATTTTAGCCAAAAAGTCACATCAAATATTTGGACACATACATATTAAATGTGGGAAAAAAATTCAATTGCACAGTTTCCATGTAAATTGCGAGATGAATCTTTTGAACATAATTACGCCATGATTTGATAATGTGGTGCTATAGTAAACATTTGCTAATGACGGATTAATTAAGCTTAATAAATTCGTCTCTCACTCGTCTCTCACTTTACAGACGGAATTTATAATTGTTTTGTTATTAGTCTACGTTTAATACTTTAAATGTGTATCCGTATACTTTAAAAATTTTACACTCAAATAACTAAACACGGGCCTTAGATCAAAATGTCATTAGAATTATCACTGGAGCCCAAAAACATTCAAGCAGCAACGGAGCAGCCCCAAAACTTTGAAGCACCACGTGGTATGTTCATTAGTTTCATGTTGATTATTAATATGCCTATACAAGTCAAATGTGCTTACAATAATGATAATGTTTCACAACTAAGTTCTCATTAAATTAATTTACACTATATCTGCAAATCAATAGAAGTTTCAAGTTTGTGCGGACTACGATAGTGATGATATGCTTAATAACACAAAATGAGACAGAGGCAGCATCTCTTATCTTATTGAAAGTATTCTAATCAAAATTTAATCCTGGATAAATACAACAATTAACCAAATCTTGTTCATTCAAAGATGTGGTGGGGTTCAGATGTGTCATGTCCTCCATGTTGCCCTTCCAGAGGGAACTACCTGCAGATGGCAAGAAGCTGTGCTACATCTGTGGAGACGACGATGGCAGCCATGAAGAATTACGTTGCCCCTTCAACTACATGTACTACCACATGTCTGATGAAGATGCCTCTGCAGGCACCTGCGAGGGGAGTTGCTCCGCGGGGAAGCACCCCATGGCCGAGGCCGTCGTCGTCTATGGCTCCGGCCGCTGTCGCGAGTTCTTGCGCTGCGTCGTCCGGGTGAACAACTTCCCGACCAAGCTCCGGCCATGGGACCCACTACTAGAAAAAGTATTTTTCAGACAAACAAAACAAGTTTTCGCAAGCGAGCAACTGGTCTGCCTATACCTCAAGGCCTGCAAAAATCGTGATTTTCCTAAGCGGGCAACTAGCCCGCCCGCGAAGAGATTTTTCAGCGCTAAAAAAAAAGTGCAGCAGCCACACCTTCCTATTCCCAATCCAATCCAATATTCCACTTCCTATTCTCCGTCCAATCCAATCAAACCAAATCAAATTCACAGAAGCATCGCAAATTCACATAGAGGCAACATGATTCACAAACAAAACAAATCCATAGACACAGTCGTCACCGGAAGGGAGGAGCTGCCGCCCGCCAAAGCCGGAGGGGAGGGCCGCTGCCACCGCGCTAGATCCGGAGGGGAGCAGCCGACGCCACCCGGATCTGGGGAGAGGAGGGGAACCGCACCGGGGTGCGCCACCGTCTATAGCCGCTGCTGCCACCGCCCTCCCCCTCCCTCAGGCCAGATCTAGGGAGGGGACCGAGCCAGGGTGCGCCGCCATTGCCTGGAGCCGTAGCCGCCAACGCCACCACCAGCACCGGTAGCCGTCACCGCCACCGCCCTCCCCCTCCCTCCGGCCGGATCTAGGGAGGGGACCGAGCTGGGGTGCGCCGCCACTGCCTGGAGCCGCAGCCGCCAACGCCATCGCCACCGCCGGTAACCGTCGCCGCCACCGCCCTACGACCGTAGCATCTGGCCAGATCCGTGCACGCCGGGGAGAGGGATGGAGAGGAGAGGGGAGAGCCAGAGAGGTGAGAGAGAGGGACTTAGCGATTTTTTGGGAAGGTGAGGCAGGCGGACTTCTTAACTTTTTAGTACCGGTTAAATCTAAGTCCCAAAAATATATTTACTACCGATTGGTATTACCAACCGGTAGTAAAAATACATCGGACTTGCTAAAAAGATGTCGACACTTTTTAGGGCTGATCTTAGTCAGCTTTGCTATCCGTCTGATCGCTAAACGTCTTCGGTTGTGCCTGTTCGGACCGTTCGATTTCTTCTCTTGATCATCTCCTAGCTAGAACGTAAGGACTGCATATGCTTTTGCTTTTTATCTTTTACAATGTAAGATTTAAATTTATAAATTTACATAGTAGTTACATCCCACTTACACACCACTTACATATGCAATTAGTATGTAATTTTAGGATTTACATATGTAATTTTAGAACTTACATTGTAAATACATTAAAATTACATATGTAATTTAGGGACTTACAATATAAATACATACCGACTAATTTTTGGTAAAAAATATGGCGCTATAAATATAGCTACTCCCAAATAAATCTTTAGTATCGAGATTAAAGATGAGGATCTTTAGTCCCGGTTGATGTTACCAACCGGTACTAAAAACTAAAAATATTTTTAATTACCAACCGATATCTCCAGGGTTAATTAAAAAAATAAAGCGAGAGCGAGCATAACACACGAACGGAAACCAGCGGTAGCGGTGACATTAGCTTGGGTGGAGCGGTGACATTAGCTTGGGTGGAGCGTGTGAGGAGCACGAGGCGGTGGTGAGGGAGCTGGCATGCAGGCACGAACTGACGACGCTGCTGCGGGCGCTGCGCGGGCAAGGGCAGGGGCAGGTCGAGGCCACCACCACATTCATCCTCGGGGAGGTCTCCCGCGCCTTCACCGTCTGCCTCTCCATCATGGCCAGCGCCTCCCCGTCTGCCTCGCCGCCGCGGCTGGATGAGACGCCGCCGGCGGTCGACTCGGCCGTCTCCGTGGGCGCGCGCGGCGCCGCCGCCACCACCACCGTGCGCGGCAAGAGAGGACAACGTCCCGCGAAAGTGAGTTGTCTACTGGAAGCAAAAATAAATACCGCAAAACTAGCTACTACTAGCTAATTAATCATTTACTACAAGATTAGCTGGGTTAAATTTGCTATAGGAATTGAGCACGAGTTCATCTGATTCATCCCGTGCATTGTTCCACAGGAGATTATTGATAGCCTCTCCTAATCGCCATCAGGCCGGTCTTCCTCGTCAACGGCGACGGCGGGGACGCCGCACGCGCGCTCGCGTGGCTCGACGCGAAGCCCGCGCGGTCGGTGGTGTACATCTGCTTCGGCAGCCTCACCCGGTTCCCGCACGAGCAGGTCGCCGAGCTCGGCATGGGGCTCGCGGACTCCGGCGTGAACTTCGTGTGGGTCGTCGGGGACAAGAACGCGTCGGCGTCACTGCTCCCGGTGGAGCGCCAGCGCGTGACGCTGCTGGCCAGCGAGTCCGCGCTCCGGCTGATGCAGCAGCCCATCTCCCCGCCAAACTCGCTCGCTCGCTCGCTCGCGGGTCTGCGCCACAGGAGGTCAGCGAAGAGCGGTGCGAGGAGGTCGACGACAACGGCGAAGGGCCCCACGAGCTCGCGGCTGGGTAGGTCGTCGGCGCTCTCGTGCCCGCTCGTGGGCCCCGCAACCTCGGCGGGCAAGACGAGCGTGTGGACGCGGATCCGTCTCCCTCCTCTCCCGCCGGTCACCGCGTGCCTCTGCCTCTCCGTCGCGAGAGACGAGAGGGGAGAGAGATGAACCGATGAAGAGAGGGACAAAGGAGGAAGAAGAGGGGATGACACGTGGGCCCCACTATTTTTAATTAATTTCTATGTGAAACTGACATGTGGGTCCCACAAGTTTTATTATTTTTCGGATCGAATTGCCACGTAAGCGATACGTCAATACCACGTCAGATGAAGACCAAGTCAAATCAGCCACGTAGGCACCACGTCAACCAAAACCGATGTCCAAAACACCGAGGGACCTCATATGCACTGGTTTTGGCAGTTGAGGGACCCATTGTATCTGCGCTGGTTTTGGCAGTTGAGGGAGCTGTTGTATCTGGTTTTATGGTTAAAGGACGAAACTCGGATACGATGACAAGGGATCTTAGATGAACTTATTCTTGGATGATTTGATGACTGTGTGTGCCCGCTGGGCAAGTTGAATACTACAACTTGAATTCGTTTTCTCAAAAACAAAAAAACAATACAATGATATTTGAATTCGTGTAAAATGTTTTGGATTTTTTTTATTGCTAACAAACGATTTCATATGCGGCGTCCTCAAACATGGAGTTTATAACACATGAAAAAAAATATGACTATATTGTGTGCAATGATGTATTGTTTGCAATTATATAGTGAAGTACTGCATCCGGAGTGAGATTTAATGCTATATTGTGTGCAATTATATAGCAATATGTAATTTCATAGTTTGTTCGTAGTTTGACTTTGAAATGTAGAGCATAATTATATTCATCATACAAATTCCTTTTATTTACACGGTTAGTGCTTTATGCCAGATAATTTCACGTTATTATAATGAAAAAGTTTTCAGTGGAAAATAATTGTTTAACTATATGCAGGTTATTTTTATGTTCTATTGACTTCACTTTTTATCTAGGGTTAATTGGATTCATGCCATTGCAATTTTGCTGATTTGAAATACCACTACTATTCATGATATTGGATGCATGCCATTGAAAATTTGTAAAATTTGAAACATGCCACTCCCGGATGCATGCCACTGAAAATTTGTAAAATTTGAAACATGCCACTCCCGTTAAGATTTCCATCCGAGCATGTACATTTCCGTCGGACCCTTTGTTTCTTCTCCATTTCTTCTACACGGATACGTAACATCAGCAAATCCAAATCATCAGTAGCCAGCGGCGGCGCCTCGGCTTCCGCGGCCATGGCTGGCTCGGATGCGGCGGCAAAGCTGGTCGCCTCGGCTTCCGCGGCCGCGGCTGGCTCGGACGCGGCGGTGAAGACGGCCGCCTCGGCTTCCGTGGCCACGGCTGGCTCGGACGCGACCGCGACGACGGTCGCCTCGGCTTCCGCGGCCGCGGCCCGCTTGGACGCGGCGGCGACGACAGTCTCCTCGGCTTCCGCGGCCCCGGCCGGCTCGGACGCGGCGGCGACGCTCGATAGCCTCGACTGTATTGGTCCCTTCGTCCTTGGTGACCTGTCACGAACAGAGATTTCCCTTGGCGTGACATGACCACGACAGTCTTCTCCTCCGGTTGCAGTTCCAGCTCGCCCGGCTTTGCCTCCTCCTTTGCCGCGCCTCTGCCTTGGGCTCCTCGGCCGCAGTCGGCGCCGCCGCCTTGGGCTTCTCCTTGGCAAGCTCCTCCATCGCCGTCCACCTCTCGTGGCACACCACCAGGTTACTCGCCACGACCGTGCGCTGCTCCGCGTTCTCCCTGGCCGACCGCCTCCGCCAATCCCCACCACCGCGAGTGACCACAAAGGTAGCCGCCCAAATCCGCCGCCGCCGCTTCTTTCTCCACCATCGTCACTGCCGCGTGCAGGCCGAGCGCCTCGGCACTGGCACTGTCGAAGCTTGCAGCAGCCATGGATGGATGGACGATGGCGGTGTGGATGTGGCGGCGGCAGGAGGAGCACCGCGACGATCGCGCCGTCGGTGGCAGGAGGCGGCAAATCCTTCTCTCAAGTGGCGTCCTCCGCTGGCGCCTGCAGCCGCAGCCGCGAGGCCGCCACCACCGCCGCCGCCGCCATTCCCAACGAGGAGGAGCTCCGCCTACTGCAAGCGCTTGCAGCAGTGACGCGACGTGAAAGAGGACGGGGAGGATGGAAAGAGCGACGGAGAGGACGGAAAGAGTGACGGAGTGGCATGGTTTCAGTTTTTAAAATTTTCAGTGGCACCCATCCGATTACGCGAATAGTAGTGGTATTTTTTTGATTTGTCACATTTGCAGTAGCATGGATCCAATTAACTCTTTTATCTATAATGCTACTATAGGAGGAACAAGATATTGTTACCGGTAATAATGCTACACTATTAAGAATTGGTAATTAATGGTCTCCAGTTATGTTATGGGATAACACCTTTAGAATTTCTAACTATTTGTTTTTTCTTTTGACAAATTTGATGGTAACTAGTGGTCTCTTATTCTATTATTGCCTTATAGCGGAAGCCAAAGATGTAAATTATTTTCATTATCGTAAATAAAATGTCATCACAAAACCCATTTAAAAGGTGATTTAGGGCGTTACGGTACATGTGCACTTAGTAAATAATGATATAACTACTTTTCTCTCTTGACAAGATAACCGCTTAGTAAATAATGATATAACTACTTTTCTCTCTTAACAAGATAACCAAGGCGGTCATTTTGTATTAGTAAATAATGATATAACTACTTTTCTCTCTTAACAAGATAACCAAGGCGGTCATTTTGTATTAGTAAATAATGATATAACTACTTTTCTCTCTTAACAAGATAACCAAGGCAGTCATTTTGTAGCATGGATGGGTTAGTTAATAGGTGTGTGTGTATATGTAGACTAATTTATAAATAATACAAACAACTACTCCTCTACAAAGGTGCTTGCATTCAATATGAAATTTAGAAAATTGCTCTAGCATATGACAATTGTTATTAATCAACGGAAAACTCGAGTGAAACTTAGGTATCCAGGCTTTATTACCTATAAAGTTGAGCTAAGATTGAGATGATCTTTGAGCTCCAATGTAGGCTCAAGCTCGAATAAATCAAAGCTCAAGTACTAGAGTTTGATGCATGTTTCTTGCATGTCTGTACTGATCAAATTTGCGATGAAAATCCAATATTATCTCTATCCCAAATTATAAGGAATTTTACCCATGTAACCTTATAGTTGTACGTAGGATCCAGTGTTTTAAATAAATAGCTCCACTAAGAAAGGTTGAACTAATAAATTTCTAATTAAGAAAGAGTACATACAAACTACTGCAACATGAAGTTTACGGAAAAAAAAAAACACAAGCTATGAATTAATTGATTGACCAATAGACCATGCAGAGAAGAAGGTACCACACTCTTCACTCTTTGAGGAAGAATAAAGACAAACTTTGGGAGTAGCCAATGATTTATGGAATAGTGTCCATCAAATGGAATTGATGTTATTCTTTCTCTAATAACTAACAACAAACAATGGGCAAAAAAACATAACAACACCAGGGCACATCTAATAGACAAATCACAACACCGGTTCACATTAATTACATTTTTTTCTAATTTTAAAGGCACACATTTGTCCTAACACAAACATCTCTAATTTCAAAAGATACATTTGCCCTAACTCACAAACATCTCTAGGAAACAAAACTAGATAATTGTAAAATGGCGTCAACCCGATGGAAAGAAAAGCCTTCAATCTAGTAGTTGTTCAAATTAATAGGACCCACTCCTTGTAAATCCTGTACAAATGATTTTCAAAATGATAGAGTCAATATAATATTTATCAAACTAATTGTTTATAGATAAAAGTTTGATTAGCTTAGTTACCTTCCGCAAGTTTTCACTGCATGTAACCAAGCCTAGATAGTATGTCAAATATCTTTAAACAATGAGGATGATGTCGATTAACATCTTGAAGGGAAATGATGGTATTGGCCAAAATATCTCTAACAGGAACCTGGAGAAAAGAGAAAGCATTAGATGTTACATTTACAATATATACAAGCATCATGTTTTGCAATATATACTATGGAAATAATAAATACAAGTACCGTGCATGCAAGAAGGGCGGTTGAGATTACATAATTAGCAACCTCATCTGTCACCAAATCTCTGAAGTGGTCAAGATCTAAAACCAACTCACATACAATCAAATATTGCTCCAGGTCACCAAATACTTTAAGGCACTTCTCCACAACACGACTACTATATTTTTGTCTTGCGAGATCCACGTAATGTGTTTTAAAGCATGATGTTATTATTTCCAGGTGGAATGGGTGTCCAAATTCCAAAACATCCTGCACAATATAATTTCTAGAAAAAAGGTAGAGTAAGTACTTATTGATGTATATAAAAAGAAATGTTTAAAAATTTTATATAATGATATATCCCAAATTATGAAAGTCAACTGAAACTATGAAAAAAAATTTAAGATAACATAATCAATACATCAAACGTAAAAGAGCAAATGGTACCCTCAACATATTTTATTGTTTTCAGCAATGTAATTTAGGTTTTGCACAATTAGAAATATTAATATAAAATTGATATCCTTACACAATACAATCTAAACTAAATTAATATTTTCTAAAGAATTTATAGTCATATATTCTTGGGTATCAATTATTACATATGCAATTAGCATAACAAATATAATAATGTGTAGTTGCTAGATACACGTAGATTATTTAAATATGAAAAGAATGAAATTAATTTTTATTAATAATCTAGTTCAAAGGGCTAAAAGTTTTAGGCTAGTCATTTCCTAATAGGTAAAGTTTAGGATAACCTCATATTGTCATATGAAATTTAATGATCATACTATTATAGCAGATTTTATAATATTTGCTAATGATTGATTCTAAATACTTACCCGCTGCGATGTTTAGCAAGATAGACACTGTTAATACAAACTTGAGTAAAAATCTTGTACTTTTCTTCTAATGTTATATGCCCCAAACAGTTTTGCAGAAATAGCAACCCGTTTAGATGACAAGCTATCTCGATACAATTCTCAACAACAGCATCAACTAAAACCTGCCAATCAAATAAGTTGCAAAGGATAAATCATTAAAGTAATAAGAAACATGACAAAATAAAACCAAATTGACACTAAATATAAAAGGAATGCGAATACAATGTAAATATCTAGAACTTCATGAAGTAAAATGTTTATATTTTAATTAACTAATGATTCTTGCAAATTTACTGCTATGACACATGTACGTGAGAACACATTAATCTCATCGCCAAATCAAAAACATCATTGAACACATTAAATACGTAGAGTGTAAATTAAGTTTCGTATAGCATTGGGTAACAATGGACACTTAGTTCATAGAAAAGTTGAAATTGATATTTCAAAAATGGTAAATATCCAAATGTAGAAAGTATCAATTTATTATAACTGGTACACAAATTTCAACCAATTTAAAAAATTCAAGTCAAGTTTAGCATATTGTGAAATTCTAAATTGTTACAGTGCGAATACATCCGCTACAACACCTTAACAAAATACATCAATAATTAATAAGGCAATATTTTGTTAGTCAACACGAAAAACACTATTCTGATTATATTATAAATTGTTGGCAAATATTTATAAATTTTTAGTCAATAGTTGGCATTTTTTAGCAATATGGCATACAGCCTTCTCTAGCTAGTAGCTACACACTTGCAGCTATGAGTATAAATTAAAACATTTTATAATATAAGAATATCATTAACTAGAATCTCAAATTAACACCAGCTAGAATTTTTATAATGGAAGAAGAGAAGATAAAGTACCTTAGCAATGTTAATAATGGAAGAAGATAAGCTGAAGTACCTTAGCAATGTCGGCTGGAAAACACTGTATGCATGCCTGTATCACCCTAAGTTTATCTGAATCTGTCACGAGGCTCTGCATCTTCGACCGCCGCCCCACCCACGGCACGATGGCGTTCCTCACAAGTTGACACGATTTCAAGCTTCTGCAAGATCTGATCATCGTCACCACACCATCTGACCTGCATGAATGCGACGAACATATCGATCGATTGAGCGAAAGTGTCATTAGATCATTATCTATAACCATTAGAATTTTACTTGAGAAGAGAAATCATAGCAAAAGTGTCATTAGATCAAAGAGAAATCATCATCAATGGTGATCTACAACCATTAGAATTTTACTTGAGAAGAGAAATCATCATCAATTGTGTAAATGGTGTAGTATATGCACATGCCTCTCGACACAGATCCTGTAGAACCTGTCCCTGTGCTGCGTGATCTTGGCGACGATGGCTTCGTGGAGCTCGCAGCAGCAGTTGTGGAGGACGCAGCTGAGCAGGCGCTGGCCATGGATGCTCTCCATGATGTCGGCGGCGTGGTCGACGATGACTTCGGCGACGAGGTGGGCTTCGTTTAACGGGGCGTGGAACAGGGTGTGGAGCACCATCTGCTCGTTGTTGGCGAGGTAGACGACGAGCTGCGGCGTGTCCGCGCCGGCGAAACGCCAGCCGGCGTTGGCGGCGGCGGCGGCGCGTCGTGAGATGGAGGAGGAGGGGGAGGCGGAGGCGGCCGGAACCTGCAACTCGTGGGAGCCAAGAAGAACGTGGCCGCCGCGGGCGTGGCGATCATCGCCAAGCATGCCGCCGTGGCGGCGGGGGCGGGGCGTCCATGGCGGCGTCGGCGCCGGTGGTCCGGCGACCGCGTTGCCGTCGGCCCAAATCCTCCCAGGCGTCATCGCCACCCCGCCGAACGCCGGGACGACTCGGCGGTTCGCCGCCGCCGCCGACGTCGTGGCCACATCCTCCCGGCGCCACCACCCCGCCGCCCCCGACGTCGTGGCCGCGTCCTCCCGGCGGCGCCACCACCGCGCCGCCTCCTGCTCCCGCTCCTCCCCGATGTCGAGTCGCCGCAGGAACTCCATCTGCTCTTCCAGCTCATCACACGTCGCCTCCTCCTCCTCCTCCTCCTCCTTCCGTTCTTCCTCCTCCGCCACCACCACCTCCTTCCCCTTCCCCGGCGCCGGCGCCGCCATCATCCGCTCCTCCAATCCAATCACCACCAAGACCAAGACCACCAGAAAAGCTTTTGGTTCTATACGGGACAGGAAGCTTCGGGAACTCGGGGATTTAGGGGGGGGATTGCGTTGCGATATCGATCCCCGCGGTTGCGCATTCTTTCCTTCTAAATCACCATCTCTCCTTCCCCAATGTGGTTTAAATTTGGAGATAAAAGGGGAAGAGAATTGAGGAAGCGGATAGTATAGGAGGAGAGAGAGAGCGCAGTGGGTTTTATTTTGATTTGCTGCTATTTTCGCGGGCGCTTTTGGTTTCTCGTCGCGCGACCGCGGGAGAATCGAGCGAGCAAACCGCGACCTGTCGTTGGGATTTTTGGACTGAGAATCTCGAATGTTTGTTGTGTTGCGTGAGGTAGCGACGTAGCGTGACTGCGTGACAAGTTCAATGTCTTCTCGTTTCTTTCTTTTTTTTTTCTTTCTTCTTTTTCTCTTGATAAAACTGGTACTTCCTCTGTTTCTTACTTTTTTCCTATTTAAACTTTTTTTAAAATTTGATCATGTTTATAAAAAAAACGTAGTAGTAATTCACAAAACAAACATATAATCAAAAATCTATTCAATGTTAGATTTAATAGGACTGATTTGATATTTTAAATGTTGCTGAATTTTGTTATAAACTTGATCAAAATGATAAAGTTTGACTTAAAAAAATTCAAACAGAGGAAGTATTTACAATATAGAAGCGTTCATATGCTCCCTTAGGAATGCCATTTATTAAGATATGTTACTCTCTCGATCTAAATTAATTTTTTCTCTATATTTGTTAGGTTCTGGTAATTTGTAAACTGACATTTTGAGCAAGTGTGTTAGTTTCCCCTTTCGCCTACTTTTTTTTTTTCAATTACCGTCTTCCTTTAAGAATTTCACAATGGTTTTCGTTGTTATCGCTTTGCCCTTTTGCACTCCGACTTGTCGCTGGTAGAGCTAGCATCGATCACGTCGATCGTTGATAGTACACACTTCTTGGATCTCAAGATTTTTGTCCTCTCACCACGAGACACTCCCAAGTTACCGTTCTCAAAGGAAAAGATAAGTAGGATCAAATTAAGATGCAATCGTGACAACGGAATATCTTCACCCTCTCCATAATCCTAACCACCCACAGCAGCAGAGCATTGCCGACTTCACTTCTGACTGAAATCTCCAACACCCCTCCCTTCCAGAAAAACAACGAAAATAACCACCACTAGACAGATGTATAGGGTGGGAAATGTACCATTGTTGTTGCATGTATCCAATCAGTTGCTGTTTGTTTGTTTTTCCTATAACCAAAAAAAAGGTTCAATTATACCCATGTACCCCAAGAGAGTCGCCATTCAGCATAACATCCATGAAACAGCTGAAGCAGCAAGGTAAAAACATCTCAGGTGCAGACCTATAAGACATTCTTCACAGTAAAGGAGGTAAAGGAAGCAAAACCACAAACTTCTCCTCACCCCGGGGGAAAGAAAAAACAGAAGGCAGGTAGGCATAGCAGAGAGCAGCATCAGCACCAAAACCCAATCGGCAGCACCACCACCAGGTGACCCTCAGTTGGAGCTGGCGCCAAAAACCCTGATCCTCTCCTCGACTTTGGCATTGCAGCAGGGGCACCGGGCCACGCCCTTCTCCTCATGCCTCTTGTTGCAACCGACGCAGAGCACCTGGTGGGCGCACTGAAGCAGGATCACGCACGCCTCCTCCCTCTTGCAGATCACGCAGTCCCTGCGACGGCTTGTCTTCTGGGTAGGCGCTTGCGACTGCTTGTTCGACGCGGGCGATGGCCTTTGGTTGGTGGGCTGCTTTGGCGCCCGCGTGGAGTTTCGATCGGCCACACCAGGAGGGTGGGTTGAGGGAACAGTTGGATGATTAACACCCATCGACTTTTGTAGACGGGCTAGTTCATCTTCAAGCCTCTTGATATCATCTTTGAAGCACCGAGACTCCACTTCTGTCTTCTGGCGTATTTCTTCCAGTCGGCGTTCAGCATTCGCTTTGGCAGATTCCCGCTTCGCGTGCTCCTGTTCTGCAAGCGCCAGGTTTTCTTCTTTGGCTTTTGTGTCTTCTCTTATTTTCATCTGCAGATCAAACACATTAGAGATGTATTTGTAAGGCAACAATCATAGCTTGCATCAGCGATTAGCTAAAATGCTGAAATGAGTAATGCATCTCAAAGTTGTTCACAGGTATCAGAAGCAGTAAAAAGATGATCTAGCATAATATTAAAACAAAGACAACCATATCAAATCAGAGGACAAATCAATTTCTACTGCTAAATATAACTCCTTACCCTCATAGTAGTATAGACTAACATTCAAGCACTAAATTTGTTGTTTCAGAAACCAGGCTATTCATTGGATCAAGAGTGTTTGCGCTCACTGGCCAGCTGGTCTGACCAACGATCCAAATACAATCAAATACTTCCCGCGTCCCGACTCTCCTCAGGATATGGTTTTGTGGAAATATTTTCATTGCACACGGCTTGCTAATCTAGTGTAACTGCATCATATTTGCCCATGCACTCAAATGATAAGCACAGCACAGCTGGTAAGCGCTTTGTATAGTGAAGCGTAGGTTGAGGGTTCGATCTATAGCACCTGGTGCTCAATAAAAGGTCTTTTTTTTTTGGTGGGCCTTGTTCTATCCTCTTCTAGTTTCTCCTTACAAACTGCACCAACCGGTGGTCAAGGCTTTCTGTCTAACCAACAGTAGTCCAGGCTTCTAAGCTTTGACATAAAATTATAGCATAAAAACAGAACAATCAAAACACAAGGCACAAAACTAAGAGATTTATATGTATAACAAAGGCACTTGTTGTGAAAAAAAGGGAAATTTCGGGTTTATAATACCCAAGCAATCACCATTTTAACTTTATACCATCAAAGATTCCTTGTGCACTTTAAAATGATACCTTATTTGCCATTTCTGTCAACTTCCGCTAGTGTTTCCTTATTTTTCAACATTTCCTAGGAACAGATGGACATGAAACAAATAGTGCTATGAATATAAGCAACCAAACATTGCATCATGTACTGGCTCAAACATCACATGACTGCTTGAAGGCATTCTCTACTTATGCAACAATATGGATGCATGCATCAGATTCATCAAGCAATGCGTCAAGAGGTTGGCAGAACATCCCCCGCTACCGCCATATCCATCTCACACCACTGGCACCCAAGTCAATGGCAATGGTGATGAAGCAGCGCCCTAGGGTGAGGACAATGGATTGATGGATGACAGCATCAAAGTGGACAAGGAGATGGCGAGGAGCAGCAGTAGAAACTGAACGGTGAGGTCATCAGCGTACGCAGAAGAAGCACGCAGCAGCGGCAGCACTGCTCTCGATACGGAGATCTCTTTTCATTACATTTGGTATGTTCTTGTTTAATTACTTGGCTCGTTACTTGCAAATTTGTATCTACTTGCACATTCATTTCTTTAAAGTAATAATTGCATATCCAGGCAATCTCTGGATGTTGATGTGCATGCTGTTCTAATCTTTGACATCACTACCCCTTTGCATTCAAGGCTCGTGACTTTAAGGTAGAGAGTGAGAGATAGGTAGTGAAAAACAGAGGGAAGCTGTCTGGAAGGACCCTCAATCTAAACCAAGGACAGAGCAAGGGCATAACAAGCCAATCCAACAAAATATTTGTTTAGTGCACACAAATAAAAATACGGTAACAGGTGTGGTTTTTATGGAATTGAAGTGCACTGAGATCTACAGTACATACCTAAATTGGATATTCGGGTGCTATACAAGTACACAACCAGTTTTGCAAATAAATAATTGATGTGCTATTTCATGGAAACAAGAAAATGAGGACATTACCGTGTTTTTAGATATTCAACATACGATGCTGGCTTGCAATTTTGATACATATATAGTTTCATTCAAACACCCAAAAATCATCAAGACATAGGCTTAGCACAAGTTCAAAAGATACCGATGAACAAAGACTTATCTTTTTTGTGTAAATGCTCAGTCCAGCTGACATACTGAGTTATTTTAGCTCATCTAGCGATGGAGTTTAATTATAAGAGAATTTGACTTTAGTTAAAACTAGAAAGCAGTTGCGTAGAAAATTAATCAAACAGTTATGGTAAGCATCTAGAAAACACAATCAGCATGTTTGCAATGCCCAATAGGCATCTCATAGACATGGTAACTGAATATACGGATGATACAATCCGCAAAAACCTATAATGAACATCATCAATTGAGGAGGACAAGGAAATAGAAATAGAGACAAAATAAACCCTATTTTACTGGAATGCAAAATAACTGTGTTAATGCCTTGCTGAAGAGAAAAAGTCACTAGATCGAAATGTCTACACATAACAGCTTCTTTAAAAGAATTCGAGGACAAATTGATTGCAACACTAAAACTGGCAACATGGATTTTTCAACTCTGCCGAGACACTAGCAACTACTACCTTCAGCCCATAATATAAGGGACTACTCTTGAGGTAGTGAAGAGCATTATCTAGATTCTTAATGCAGTTTTTTTTTCTCATTTTGATGGTAGAACTATTAATAACATATTTTGCAATAGCTTTAGTTAGAATTTAGTCCATTCAAATAGCAGCACCAGCAAAACATGCAAATAGAAAGAAGTAAACTTTAATGGTTGGGTAAAGTCAAAATCCAAAAAGTTAATGGGAACCAAACTTATGTATGATTGATACTGATTGAATGGGAGTTTCAGTTCTAACAGAAACAATGTTTCAAAATTCGAGAAAGCATGGGCAAAACTCAAGCAAAGAGAAGAAAACACAACGCAAAGTACACTAGTCCTGCATGTCGAATAATTCCGACGAGAAGTTACAAAATGAGTATTATTTTCAGCTGCCAGATGGTTCTATACTAATTTTCCAATTGAAAACAAAACATTCAAAATAGAAATTGAGCATGGCAGTCCAACATGATTCATACGGCTACCTGGGACATGATAGAATCAGATCAAAGCACAATATCACAACACATGGTGTATCAGAAGGTGACAAATCAAGAAAACAATGCCACGGTATATAGGTTTATTGCATGTGCTCTCCAAGCATCAACACTCCACTGTCACCAACACTATTTTCAGGATGTCTAGTCCTATCAAACAATCTATATCAGTTTAACTTAGAAGGCAAGTCATTGGTAAATATATGATCACTCTGACCCTCACAGGTCCACAGTAAAGTAGAAGGTAAAGCTTACTGAGTAATAGCTCAGTAAAGAGTTATGAACAATTACTGGTGAAGCATAATCCATTTCATAAAAAAAAAAGAGTAAATAATAGTGATAAATGAACACAAAGACCAGATATGTCCCTTACTATAGCTGTTAACATACATCTAACACAACCTGTAATCATGCAGAGAAATGTCGGTATGCATATCAATAAGGGAAGAGCCCCAGTAACTACCAGTTGGCATCAACAGTCCAATAGTTAATCGCTAACTATTTAATCCAAAGTTTGGTCATATGACCAGAATAAGGTATAAGCCATAATGCCATATTCTACTGTATTGTGTCAAACCATGAGAGGCCACATACTTTCACGAGTCATTATGGTTTTACCAACTTTACCACAAAATACCTACAGGAGAGCACTATAGGTTATTCAGAATTGTAACAATTTATTGGCATTGTATTATTACCGATGACCACTACCTCTAACGGTTAATTCTCTACTGCAAGTCTACGACTATACATAATCAAAACAGTGCAATCTCTCGTGGTAGGAAGCTTGTGACATACAAGTACTTGCCAGAAAATAAGAAAGAAGGATATAAAGACTTGAGGTGCTTGCAAAAGACATAATAAATTATGCAAGATCATCCTCACCTCCATATTTCTTATTGCCTTGTTGATCTCAGCAAGTTCCCTGTCCACCTGCGTAATCTTTGTCTTGCATTCAGCAATGTCCTCCTGAAGCTTTGCCTTTTGGCGGTCCCACATCTCAAGCCTTTTGCTGTCCTTCTTCTCTTTCTTTACCAACTTCTGGCATTGCCGTTCTGACTCTGAAGCACTCAGCTTTGCAGCTTCCATCTCTGCACGTATCTCTGCATTCTCCATTTCCAGTTTCTGCACTGTGGCATTACTCCGGTCAAGCTGCCCACTCTTCTTCTTCAGCTCATTCTCCAGTTGTGTGAGCCGCTTCATTGTCTCATCTTCCATTTCCTGCTTATCCTTCTTGCGCCGCTGGTTCTCATCATGCTGCATACGTAGCACACGCAGCTCAGTGAGATCAGTGCCAAGCTTGCGAGCAGCCTGTATCGCCTTCTGCTGCGCCCACTCTTTGCGCTCCTTGAGTTGCGCCTCCATCTCCCGTGTCTGCCTGATGAGATCGCGCACCATCTCATTCTTCGGATCAGGCTTCACATCAGGGGCGTCTTTCTTATCAATGTCCAGCAACTTGAGCTCCTTTACAATGGAGTCAATGATCTCCTCTGTGGAGAGCTTCATTGTAACTGGCTGGTTAGTCTGCGCATCCGATGCGATACCATTGGACCTTGACCAGGTGGTCTTGATGCAGGAGATCACACCAGAAACACTGCCAGGGCCCTGGCGCATTGCGAGTCGCATGAAATTATCAGGATCAAACAACGCGGTGTCAGGGGTAGCGGAGGCTGTGGTGGTATGGTAGTGACAGTAACCACGCTGCCCCGGGGCTGCAGCGGCGGGTGGGGGAAGCTCGTCACTCTCAGCAGAGGCGATTGCAGGCGTAGGCTTCTCGTTGAGGTTGGCGCCCATGGAAATGGCCTGATCGAGGCGGAGATCACAGGAGAGGAGGCACCACATGGCCTCGGCGCGGGAGAGGGTGGGGCGGCTGCTCTGGAGGAGGCAGACGAGCCCCGCGAGGGAGTACTCTTCGAGGCGGCGGAGGTCGGCGAACCCGCCTGCCCCACCGGCGTGATCGGGGTCTGAGAGGAAGACGCGCGCGTTGGCGACGATGTTGGCCACGGGTTCCCCCAGCTTCCCGTAGCAGTGGCCCGCGCGGAGCACGGCGTGGAGCGCCGCCTCCTCGCAGTACCCGAGGTCGGCGAGGCGGGCCAGCGCCGCCGCGTAGGCATCCTCCAGCCTCCTCAGCAGCCGATCCTCCAGCTCGTCCGCCGAGGCGCGCCCCCACGGCGCCGCATCCTCCCCGGACGGATCGGGATCGGATGCGGTCGGGGCGGCCGCCGCCGCAGCCACCGCCGCGGCGGAGGCGGAGGCGGAGGCAGGGCCCGCACGCACGGCGCGGTTCTTACGGCCGGCGCGTGACGCGCGGTCGCGGGGCTGCCCAGCCATGGCGGCGGCGGCGGAAGGGAGGAGGAGGTGGGCGGCGGAGATCGGAGGGCGCCGCGGCGAGGAGGGGAGGGGAGGAGGGGCGGCGGCGGCGAAGGGTTCCACCGGTGTGGACTGGTAACGGAAGGGAAGGGGGAGGAGAGGAAGAAGAGATTAACCGTGGGCCTTAACGGGCCGGTTTGTGGGAAGGTGGGCCTCTATGGGCTGGATATGGGCCTATCTGGAAACACGAACGGCAGAGCTGGGCCGGCCCAGCCCGGTAATAACTGGACCTTTGACTGCTTGGATCAGGCCTATTCCAAGCCCGAGACTTCACTACCTGTTTTCTTTGGGAATGTGTTCACTTTAGGTCCCTCGTCTTTGACGTCGAGTTTGGATTACATCCTCGAACCATAATACAAGATATAATGTGTTACTCCCTCCATTTCACAATGTAAGTCATTCTAGCATTTTTCACATTCATATTGATATTAATGAATCTAGGCATATATATCAATCTAGATTCATTAACATCAATATGAATGTGGAAAATGTTAGAATGGCTTACATTGTGAAACGGAGGGAGTACTCAACTTACAAAACCGGATTAACTGAGATCCCAAAGCACTTTTATGCCTAGTTTGGCTGAACGTGGAGAGTTGAATCACCGTAGGATCACGTGAGCTCCATGTTTCATCGACCAATTCTTTCTTCCTCCTCCCTTCACCTCTCTCCTTATCTTTAGGGTGAAGGCCGATGTGGGAGAGGAGCTAGGCGACACATGGCGGACGGTGGGAGAGGAGTTGAGCGGCACCAGTGGCGTTGTCAAGCTGGGCCTCCCACCACCACGATAACCGGATCCACCTCCGCCTAGCCGTCACCACCCAGCGTCGGGAGCAGGGTAACACACTGCCTAGTGCCCTCCACTTGGCTTGTAGGACGCGAGGTGTGCCTCCACCATTGCCGTCGGGCCCACCACATGCCCTTCGACCACCCACGCGCCTCCACCACATCCACCACCACCGAGACCAAAGGATGGGGGAGAAGGGAGGTAAAAGGAAGCATATATTGTTCACTGACATGCGGGTCACACATGGGTTCTATTTTTTTTATGGCTTCGAGTGCCACATCAGCCAAAACCATCCTTAATATTGCCTTGGGACCTCATTTAGGCTGTGTCGAGGAGTGATCCTCTCTAGCGGGAGGACGTGAGACCCCCTTTTGTGAATTCGGCCAGGGGATAAGGCGCGATGATCAAGAGCGTATCTCCGCTGTGGATTAAGTTAGTGAGGTGGATGGTGATCGAGTGAGAGACGAGGGATTATACAGGTTCGGGCCGCTGGGAAGCGTAATACCCTACTCCTGTGTGTGGAATTATGCTTATGCTATTACAAGAGAACTCAAACCCTAGGAGACCGGCGGGCTAGTTTCCACCTAAGGTTCAAGCTTCCAAGAGTCGTCCCCTTGCTTGGTGGGCAAGGTCCTCCTCTTATAGTTCAAGGGGATACCACATGCACCGCCTCTGCGCATCTCGTCCTTGGAGGGGGGTTGAGCTACCGACCATGCCTTAGGCCGGAAGCATGGTGGCCGCTTGTCCTCGGGTGGGCCCCAGCACCGTCCTTTGTCTGACACGGGAGACACCCCCTGTCATTCCCTCTAAAATTCCTGGAGACTTTTTGTGGGTTCATGCACAGGGGGTGCACCAGTTGAACATCGGTCGCTGGGCGTCGATGGGACAGGGCATACCTGCCCCCACGCCGCCTGACATAGGGCGGGACGTGGGTGCGTTGCCGCCCGTCCCATCCGCCTGCGACCGGTCATAGCCCGGTCAATGGCGATTGACGCACGTCAATCGACTAGGCGTCGCACGACTGCCCATGCCGCATTAAATGCGGCAGGGGTTGTTGGGGCACTGCCCATCAATACACCTGGCAGCGCCCCTTCCTCCGCCCACTCAGCTGCAACGTGGCAGCCAAGTGAGGGCCTCAGGGTGACGCAGCCCCTCGGACCCGAGGGGCGCGGCAGGATACCCTGAGGCCCCTAGGCAGTTACAGGCGCCTCTTGGCTACTCGTTACTTGCACGCCCGACCCCCCTCCCTCCCCCGATGAGGGGGGGGCTAGGCCGCGCGGCCACGTGGCTAGGTGAAAGGGTCCTTTCCTCTCAGTCCCATATCACCGACAGGCTGTGTTCGGCTCCCTAGGTTAGGAACTAATTCTCCGCGCACGTAAAACGGAGTAACTTATTAGCACATGATTAATTAAGTATTAGTTTTTTTTTTTGAAAAATGGGTTAATATGATTTTTTAAAGCAAGTTCCATATAGAAAAGGAATAAGTATAGCCAACCATGCTACCATAAGAGCAGTTTAATAGTACAGCCAACTACTACCACCAAATCATTTACAACCAATCTAATAGTTAATTTATACAAAAGTTACTTATAAATATATACTACACCATTAATTTTTGATCCTACCTCTCATATACACAGCGTCTTGGAGTCCGGTTTACAGCTGGCTATAAATCTATAAGCCACTTATCTTCTCTCTTCTCTCCACATGTGCTTATAGCTGGTTTATAGTATGCTATTATACCTATTGGTGTTACAAATCCACAAGGATTATTCAGCTTCCTTGAATGGTTTAGATTGTAACCCAATTTAGAAAATCTAAAAGATAGAAGATAGAACACACAAAGCCTAGCCTTGACTTTAAAGGCTAGGCTTCGTGAAATCTAGAAAATAAGCTATTTCACGAAGCCTAACCTTTTAAATCCTATTCGGAAGAGCTTCTAGTAGTTATAGATTATCCAAGAATCTCCAGCTACCCAAACAGTTTAGATTGTCACTCAAATTAGAAAATGAATTAAAAGCTAAAAAGGTAGGAAATATATCTTTTTAATATTCTCATAAGCTGGCTACCAACCAACTTTTTTTTCTTAAAATCTAAAGCTCTCCTAAACAAGACCTTAGATTTGATTTCTCATTAGCTACTTATCAGAATCTCGAGCTCCCAAGTATCGTCTTAGACCAACATTCCCCGCATTGGACATTACACATAAGCTTTATCTATTTCGTTCTGAAATCGTCCAATCATTTAAGGTAGGTATGAAACATTTCTCATGTTCCAAAAAAGCACCAAATTGCTGATCTGTATATATGCAAACCCATGACTGCTTGTTAGTGTCGGTGTATGATCCAAACAGTGCTCAGCAAATGGTCGCTGTCAATGCTCTGAATTCTGAAGGGGCCTCGCTCCAACCGCATCTATGGCACCAATCTTCCTCTGTTTTCATTACTGACTCTCTTGTTTGTTTCTCGAGATGCAGAGGAAGAAAGCTACACATGGCAAATTGCAGACGGTGCATAACTGAGAAATCTGCATTATCACTATCATTAACTACTAATAATCTATTACACCATCACACAAGCAGGTGAAACAACCAAGTGTAATGCAGAAAGTTTTTGTGTGGAGATTACAAGTTTTGACTTTGGAGAGTACATTTTCAGTACCAAATTACTGGCAAATTTTACCTCTGCTAATATCACTCCTAGTAATTAACATTGCTGTTTACACTTTACACCAATTGCACTCTTATGTTTGCTCCATTTTCATCGTCTGTACCAGGAAAGATACCAGTGAGTAACAAAATAAGATAAAAAAAGAGTGAAATTTACATTGCAAATGTTTTTTTTTTCAGATCACTGTGCAAAGCAACGATGAGTCGTCGTCAGCTCTTCTTCCACGGCTCGGCGGCGCCGGCGAGGTAGGCCTTCTTCCTCCTCTCGGCGCGCGCGAACGCGCACACCACCACGAAGCACGCCGCGTACACCGCGTGGACGCGCCACGTGGCGCGCGGCGCCTCGCCGGCGGCGGCGCGGTGGAACACCGCGGCGTAGTAGTGCAGCCCGACGGCGAGCCCCACCATCATCTGCGCCAGCGACAGCGCCCTGGACGACAGCGACGCGTCCTCCCCGGCGCCGGCGCCGCCGCCGGGGGAGGAGGAGAACGCGGCGACGAGGTCCACCATCTGGAGCACGAGGTAGGCGACGTACCCGAGCGACTGCGCCGCCTGCGTCCACGCGTACGCGGCGGGCGACGCCGCGTGGAAGAACCGGAGCGGCTCCAGCCCCGTGGCCGCGGCGGCCACGGCGAGCGTCGCGAAGTAGATGGCGAGGTACGCCTGCGCCAGCAGCAGCGCGCGGCGGAGGAGCGGGAGGTACGCGCCGACACGCCGCACCAGCGCCGCGAGCAGGCACAGCGGCAGCAGCAGGACCGCCGCCGACGCCGCGGTCGCCGCCACGGGCGCCCACCGCCCGCCCAGCAGCGGCCGCACCCCGTCGGCGATGCCGGCGTTCGCCGCCGACAGGTACGCCCTGGACGTCGACGACAGCCGCGCCAGGTCCGGCACGAGCGTCTCCTGCAGCCGCGCCGGCAGCTCCCGGAACTCCGAGATCAGGTCCTCCGCTCCGTCCTGTTCCGCCAACGTCGCCGCCACCTCCTCCGCCGATTTCCTCGATTCCTCAATCTTCATTACATCAACGGCATTGGACTCGAATGCTTTCTTGGTCTTGGTATTCGCCATGTACTCCGGCGACTTCTTGGTGCCGATCTTGGTGAGCTTCGCCGCCTTGTCCTCCTTCAGAAGCTTGGTGTTGGCCGTCGCCGGAGTCTTGGTCGTGGCAGTTTTGGCGGTGGGGACATCACCGGAGCTGAGTTTCTTGCCATGTTTAAGCACTCCACTCTGATCCTTGGCCGCCGCCGCCACCATCCTCTTCTTCAGTGGCAGTGCTCTCTCCGCAGTCGCCGCCGCCGCCAAACCACCCTTCCTGCCGGACAAATTCGCCTTGCGCGACGCCACCGCCGGCGAAGCAGAAGCACAGACGGCAGCGTGGAAGAAGCAGAGCAAAAGAAGCGCGAGCATCATTACGACCGCCACCCTCCGCCCGCGGCACGCCATGGCCGGGCGCCGGCGGTGGCAGAAACGATCGAACAACACAGCGAGCTGGAAGAGCGAGAGCGAAGTGGAAGCGGAGTGAGCTGTGAACTGTGAGCTGCACCACGCCACCCACCACAGCTAAGCTGTGATGTGAGGAGGAGGAGGAGGAAGAAAAGAAGAGAATGCCAGAGCGCGCGCGCGCGCGCACAGTAAGGCGTCACATGGTGGCGGCCGGGTGGTGGCAACTGACGACCGACAATCTGCGCCACGAATAAAGCGACTGTTGTAATCAGGGGAGATCGATCCATCATCCTTCATCCATGGATCAATCCCAGTTCGATTCAGATGTTTGGCTCATGTTTACTAACCTCCTCTCCTCTGTTTTATATTTTAACTTTTAAGTCTTATATTTTAAGTCGTCTAACTTTTTTCTTAATCAATTTTTTTAGCTTTGTGAAATTTATAGAAAAAATTAGTAACATTTACGATATCAAATTAGTTTCTTAAATTTAACATTGAATATATTTTGATATAATATTAGTTTTTATTAGAAATATTACTATAGTATTTTGCTACAAACTTACTAGGGAAATAGTTAAACGACTTAAAATATGAAACATAGCAAGTATTGAAAAGGAACATCTTATTAACACATGATTAATTAAGTATCGGATATTATATTCTTCTAAATAACTTTTGAATATAATACTTTTGCATGTATCGTTTTGCAGTTCACCATATTAACAGAGAACAGGATATACTATCTCAGCGAAGCTGTTTTGCCGAACTCAACCTAAGCAAGCTCGGCTTAACCTTGATTGAAGCCACGTAGTCCACATGTCTGTCAATGTGTCGCTATTGTCCAGCTAGGATGTTTTTTTTAGTTAGGTGATTTGGATTATTGTCCTTAACTTTTTCTGCTACCAATTTGATATTTTAAGAAATAAACTTTAAAAATAGAGCAAGTGATATAAAACAATGTAAGCATAGAAGAAGGTTTCTTTAGAAAACATATTTTTTTGAAGCGCCCGGTGTGCACATCTCTCCGGCGGCAAGTAATCCAGAAAGCATTTTGAAGGCGACGTGGATTGAGTTTCTTATGAAATCTCTAGGCTTGAAATGTATAATGCCTAACTAGCTACTTCTATTCCATTCTATTATAGTGCGAGTGTGGCAGTGCCATTTACACAAAATACTATTTTACTCCTAAACACTTATAGATCCAGATCGTTTATCTCTGACAATGATCATGTCAAATAAGCTACATTTGTCCCATTTCCATTTAATTCAGCCATTTTGATGCGGGGATTACACTATTACGATTAGAATAACTAATGATGTACTGCTAATTGTGATCTTGTCAGTTGTCACATCGGAGAACACTATAAAAGAGAGAGAAAAAAAAAACAAGAACAAGCAAGTAATTGGAGATTGTCATTCCGATCAGCTTCATGCGTTTATTATTCATAATCTTGTAAATTTTGTTGTGTTCCTTCAGTCACGCGTGCACAATAGGATAACAAAGACTTTTATCGTTGATGACAACATATCTGCATGTATAATGTAGTAGTACTAGTATGTAGACATCTTATCTACCTATTAATAAGCGTCGCCTCTTTGTGCCAACAGACGCACATATATTATTGGAGCGATCTAGGACAATCAATTCTGGCGTAATCTGGACATCACTAATTTTGCCATTTGCAGCTTTTCCTTTTTAAAGTTTGTTGGGGGCGATGGGGCTTGAGGTCTTCTTGATGTGCAGTGTTAGGTTTGGGCCGGTATTGGGCTTCACGCTTAAGAAAATGGGTTGTCGGCCTAGATGCTTGAATATCCAAGTTTGGTGTTCTCTATTATTGGTTGTATTTCTCTTTATGAAAAGCTTTATATTACCTCACTCAACTATACCTCAAATCCGATTTTCCTCCCTCAACTATAAAAGCAGGCATGGTGTCTCCCTCAACTTTAAAACAGTAGCCTCCTTGGTTAGTTTTGTAGATTGGTTTCGTTCAACGTGGTTGCACAATAATAAAAATTATCAATTAAAATTAAGAAAATCATGTTAGGTATTCATCTTCTTTCATCTCTTTCCTCTCTCTCTCCACCTCTCTGTTGTTCTCCTGTGGGGAACACGACCAAGCTTGCATCATACAAGTCGTTTCCCTGCTTGGCAACGATGTCGCCCGAGGAGCGGCAGCGCTCGGCCTCCTCCCTCCTCTTTCACCCTCCCTCCATGAAATTCAAACAACCACACTGTTGTCTGCTACCTAGAACCTCCTTATCCATGCACCATGCCACCATTATCGGCGACGCTTCCTCCCCCTCTTTCACCCTCCCTCCCTGACGTTTATACCGCTACGCTATTGTCTACTACCTAGAACCTCCTTATCCATGCACCATGCCACTGTTACCGGTGACGCTATCATGCGCCCCCTTGTCGAACTCATCACCCCACCTGCACCCATAGCCACCTCCCTGACACCGTCCAAGTCCTCCCAATGGCATACATCCTCATCAGTGACCCTTCTTCCATCGACAGTGGTAATTGCCCCTTGCCCTCTCACCACTCCTTATCCAGATCCGGCCAACTCGACCTCTTCTAAGCATCCATTGGCAAGCTCAGGTGCTTCTTATCGGTGTAGTGTAGTGCAAAAGAGGACATGATCACGTCGGTGCCGATGGTGGTTTCGTGCTCCACTATATACATAAGTGAAGGATGTGTCGATAGACTTCAAACTTCGAGCTCCCTTGTGGTTGCGGTAGAGGGAATGAAGGCGATAGAGGTCGTGGCCAGCTGGAGGCTCATGTGGTAGATCTGCTTTTGGCACACAGCCAATGGCGGCAGAGGGAGCAAATAAACCTAGAAAAGATGCACCATGGCCTCATCCTCTCCTCCTTCCCACATGCCTCTGCTTGGTCTGCGTCCTTCTTCTCCAACTCATTCCTATCCCCACCATCGTGGCCCTCGCATGCACCATCTTCACACCAACCACCATCATGGGTCCCTCCTAGTGTACATCACTCCCACCTTAGCCTCTAGCACACACATCTCACCCTTGCACCGTCTTTCGCGCTGAACATTTGTTCCCGATGTATTATTTTTGACTCCACATACGTGCTATACATGTACCACATTGGACGAAAATGCACTTAGTAAGACAAAATGATCCGATTTGAAAATTAAACAATGTGTTATACCTAGTTTTATGGTTGAGGTTGGACATTCAACAACTTAACCCATAACATGAGTAGTAAATTTTCCTTCTTTTTACAGCGTTTGATTGATATACGTGCTAAATGCCTAATTCTATAGGTGTCCAAACAGACGGCCTAACCAAGAACACATGGACTCGACGGTGGCACGACTAGTTAGACACAACAACTGTTGCGGGCCAAGCCAACCCACGTGCAGAGGCCTCAGCCTAGGCACAGCCCAAGAAGGCTACGGGTTGTGCCATGCTAGCACAAGCCCGATGAAGGCCCATCAGCATGTTTGAGCCACATAATTTCAAATATAATGCGGGAAAAAGAAAAAATGTGAAAAGAAGACAAAAACAGGAAGATAAAGGGAAAATTAGAAAAGGAAAAAGTGCACCCAAGGTCCCTCAACTTATCATCGAGATACAAAATCGTCCCCCAATCGTAAAACCAGATAACGGACGTCCCTCAACTAGCAAAACCGTTCGCTTTAGGTCCCTCGATGGTTTTGACTCCGGTTTTGTCTGACGTGGCGGCTGAGTCAGCGTGGGACCCACGTGGGATCCATGTGGGCCCCATATGTCAGCCTATCCATGTCAGGCTCCTCTCCCTTCCTCTCTCCTACACACACACCCAGACGAGTCGTCGGCTCTGTCGACGGCGGCGGCGGTAGCGTGTTCGCGCGTCGGCGGCGGCGGCAGTAGCGCGTCTGCCAGGAGCGGCTCCGTCGGCAGCGACGACTGTAGCGCGTCAGCGGCGGCGGCAGTAGCGCGTCCGCGCGTTTGCCCTAGAGCGGCTTCGTCGGCGGCGAAGGCGGATGTAGCGCGTCGGTGCGTCTTCGTCGTCGTCGCCGCCGCCGCCATCGGCGACAACCTCCTGGAGCCGGCACCGTCGTCGCGGGCACCATCGAAGAAGCGGCAGGAGCGGATGAGGACGGCGGCGGCGAAAAATCCCACATGCGAAGTAATTAAGATCGATCGACAACCACATATTTACAACAGCCACCATGCACATCATCTCTTCATCATGCATATATATATACGCACGCATGCGAAGTAACTAAAATCGATCGATCGATCGAATTAACAAGGACAATGAAGACCACCGGCGGAGGAGGATCTCCCAAGGAGGCGGTGGTGCCGTCCGCTGCCTCCGGCGACACCACACTCGGCCGCCACCTGGCGCACCGCCTCGTGCAGGTGGGCGTCAGCAACGTCTTCGCCATGCCCGGGGACTTGAAACTGACGCTTCTCGATCACCTCATCGCCGAGCCCGGCCTCCACATCGTCGGCTGCTGCAACGAGCTCAACGCCGGCTACGCCTCCGACGGCTATGCGTGGGCCCGTGGCGTGGGCGCCTGCATCGTCACCTTCACCGTCCGTGGTCAGCTGCTGCACGGCCGCCGTCGCCGCAGCCATCGGTTCTGGAATCAGGTGACGGGCGACGAAGCCGGCGCCGCCTTCAGGAATCAGGAGCGCGCGGGCGCGGCTCCGTCGTTGCCGTCGGCGGTAGCTCGTCGGAGCGGCTCCGTCGTTGTCGACGGCGGTAGCGCGTCTCCATCGTCGCCGCCGTCGCCATCATCGGAGACGACAGCCTCCTGGGACCGGCACGGTTGAAGCACGTGGGCGTGAGCTCGAGGCCGCGTTCTTCTTCTCCGGGAGCCACCATCGCGCTCCTCCCCCGCCGGGCCTACCGTGTCCACTGCATCGGTGACGCACTCCCCTTCTCCCGCGTCATCGCCGCCGAGCGACGGCTCGCTTGCTCCGTCGGACAAGAGGAAAAAAGTGAGAGAGAGATGAGGAAGGGTCGAAGGGAGATGAGGGGGAAGAGAGAGGAGGCTGACATGGATAGTTTGATATGTGGGGTCCACGTGGGTCCCACGCTAACTCAGCCGCCACGTCAGATAAAACCGGGGTAAAAATCACCGAGGGACCTAAAGCGAACGAGATTTTGCTAGTTGAGGGACGTCCGGTATCTGGTTTTGCGATTGGGGGACGATTTTGTATCTCAATGACAAGTTGAGGGACCTTGGGTGCACTTTTTCTATTAGAAAATAAAATGAGAAAAATGGAGGAACACCGAAAATGGGAAGAGTAACTATGCTCGAGCTTGGACCATGCTGTGTTAGCCCATGGGCTGAGGCGCCGGCCCGAGCATGGCACGACCCACGATCAAACAAGCTGTGACGTGCCTGGGCCATGACCATCACGGGATGGTCTGGTCTATTTGACCATCTATACCTAATTCTAATCACATGTTAAGAGAGCATTCTGTTTGAAATTTAGTGAGCTCTCCCTATATATTTTGGGATTTGTGGTTGCAGGAGTTCTGCTCCGTTCATTTATAGATGAAAAGTTCTAAAATACAAATGTCGATTACAATTTGATTAAATTATCCCCGAATAAATTTCCATGGTTTGGTAGTGAGCTAGTGGTATACTGGAGTTTTTGTAACGAATATAAAGCTGCATAAACAAAAATAAATCAGCCCTAAATTTCCATCATTGCGGAAGCAATTTCCTCTCATCCTCCCCTTCATCCTCGGTGTCAGACCCCTCGCCGCCGTCGGGCCGAGCTCCGCCGTCTCCCCTCGGCGCCGCCGCCTCCGCCCGCGCCGCCGCCTCCCTGTCCCTCGGGTAGGTGCAGTACAGGAACGAGTAGATGAGGCAGCACAGCACCATGGGGACGGCGATGGCGGTGTACAGTGCACTCGCGAGGGACGCCGCGTTGCGCCGCTCCGCCTCGACGGCGGCGGCGCCCCCCCGCGCAGCCAGGTCGTAGCCGTACAGGCGCTCGGCGAGGACGCCGACCACCGTCGGCGCGAACGACGCGAGCACGGCCTCGCACGTCCGGTCCAGCGCGTACACGCTCGTCCTCGACCGCGGCGGCACGATCTCCGCCAGTATCGGGCCGTTCGTCGACGAGGGATTCCACGACGCCATGAGCCCCAGGGCGAACAGCGCGGCGCCGTGCTTGGCGGCGGCGGGTGGGTCGCCGTGGAGCGCGAGGAGGAGGACGGCGGCGAGGGGCACCGCCGAGCCGGAGCTGACCTGGGCGAGGACGATGCGGCCGGAGTTCTTGAACCGCCGCGCCATGGCGTCCCCCATCTTGCCGCCGAGGAGGGCGCCCAGCGAGGTGGCGGCCTTGAACAGCGCCATGAGCGCCGCCGTCTCGCCGTGGGAGAACCCCACGAGCTCCAGCCACATTGCCGTGAAGGAGAGCGCCGACCAGGGGAACGAGCCCGTGAGCCCCTGCGCGACCATGACCTGGAACGACGGCACACGCAGCACGGCCTTCGCCTCCCTCGCGAACTCCTGCAGCTCTTGCCGCACCGGCTTGGCGGTGGTCGTCGTCGACGCAGTCGCCGCCGCCGCGGCGTCGTTGCCAGCGGCGAACGAGCGGATGGACACACCGACCACGGCGCCGCCGGCAGCGAGCAGGAGGAAGGCGAGGCGCCAGCCCGGAATACCCAAGAACGAGGTGGGCGCCATGAGGAGGCCAAGAGAAGTGCCACCCACCGTGCCGACCTTTCCCGCCACCATGAGCCACCCAAACGCCACGCCCCTGCTCGTGCCATCGACGGAATCGGCGACGAAGGCGTATATCGCCGGGATCTGCAGCGCCAGCCCGACGCCGTTCAACGCCGCCGTCACCGCCATCTGCATCGCATCATGAAAAGCATGTCAACCATGGAGCATGGCACGCCGGCAAGGTGAGCTTCGATGGAAACGTGCAAAGATCACTGGCCTGAGGAAAGGTGGTGGAGACGGCGATGAGCAGGGTGGCGGCGGCCCAGAGGAAGGCGCCGAGGGCGACGACGGTGAGGCGGTCGTGGCGCGCGGCGAGGTACGCGGCGAGCGGGTAGCACGCGGCCTGCACGACGGAGCGGGAGAGCGCGATGGAGCCCAGCGCCGACGGCGAGGCCCGCAGCCCGGCGCCGATCTCCCTGTACACCGCCGGGAGCAGCGCCGCGTCGGCGCGCTCCATGGCCAGCGCCGCGTACGCCAGGAGCAGCGTCGCCGCCCGCGCGCCGCCGCGGGGGCGGCGCCGCCGCCGCTTCTTGGTTTGCTGCTGCTCCGGCATGTCGGCGACAACAGCTAGCGCGCAGCGCGTGCACCGGGGTTTGTCTCGAGGTTAACAAGTGATTTTAGCGAATGAATCTTTGAAAAGCAGCAAAGGGTCACCTGTTTAGTTAACAACTACTGTAAGCTGCAACTGAAAATTCAGAAGGCAACAGTTTTTTCAAACAGGAATATACTAAATAGAACCCGTTTTAAAAGACGACGGCATTATTTTTTTGGCAAAATTGGTTCTATGGCATCGAAAGTTCTCGATTTTGATTCTATAGCATTAAAAGTTTATGGTTCACTTTAATAGCACTGAAAACTACATCCGTTACTATTTTTAGCATTCCGTCAGCAGTTCCGTCGGCTCACCCCATCCTACCTCTATCTTCTTCCTCCTGCGCTCTCCCTCCTATGGTTGACCACTCTTCAAGGCATCAGGCGAGCTCGACCATGACAGTATAGCGCTGAGCGAGTTGGAGCCTTGGATGGTGGCAGCTGGTTCTGGCATGCTAGAGGCGGCGGCTCTTGGGTCGGTAGACAACGGATCCAGGGCAAGGAGGAGCGGGTCGGCACTCAGGCGAGCACGCAACGAGCGCGAGGGTGGTGCTTCGGGGCGAATTTGAGGGCCGATGGATGAGCTCGATCGAGGGCAGCATGTCGGAGAGAGCTCAAGGGCGCCGACAATAATCTGGAGGGCTTTGCTTCCGTGCGGACCCGACAATGCCGGCGACGAGCTGGACAATGACACTTCGGGCGTTCATGGATTGGATGAGCTTGAGGATGACGCATCTAGGGGAGACCGAGGGCAGTGCATGCGGACTAACTCGGAAGCGGCACGGCCGCGGAGGAAATGGACCTGGTTGAGCACGCAAGATTTGAACAAGCTCTAGCATGGCCATGGCGGCGCGGCAGACGAGATCGATCGACGATGGCGCTGTCCGGGCAAAGCTAGAACGTGGATAGATCACACCTAGCAAGCGCGGATGAACACAGCGGCTTGTGGATGAGCTCGTGAGGGCTCACGTATTACATGACGAGCTCGTGGAGCCAGCATACTGTGTTCGCACCATGGCTGACCGGCCTGAGCTCCTGTATGACTGCTGTTTCGAGATGAGAAGGAAGTGGAAGAGGGCCACCATTGGTGTTTGATCTAATTTTTTGTTGAAAAATAATAATAAGAAAAGAAAACTAACTGGAGTTTGGATGGAATGCTAAACAGAAGTAACGGAGGTAACTTCAGGTGCTATCAAAATGAGCCTTGAACTTTTGATGCTATAAAACCAAAATCGACAACTTCCGATGCTCTAGAACTAATTTTGTCTATTTTTTTTCACGTTTCATCATTCGTCTTATTTAAAATTTTTATAATAAATTATGTTTAAAGTATTTTTAGTGATAAAATAGTTCACAATAAAATAAATAATAATTACGTTTTCTAATAAGACGAATACCAAAAGTATATAAAAAAATCAAGTAGTAATAAATAAGAAAAGTGATTCGAATCTACATGAAAGATGTAATACCTACCAATATACAATGAGGCTACACGTGACCATGTCTTGAAACCAAAGCAAAGAGCACAAGCACAATGCATATCAGCTTTTACGAGCTTGTACAATGTCCAAGCAAGAAAATAAGAAATTTTCTGGACGATAAGAAAATAAGACATTGTAATCATTTGTTTTCTTATTTTCTTATTTTCGCACAAGACGATAAGAAAATAAGAAACCAAAGCAAAGAGCACAAGCACGTTTGTTTTCTGGACGAGCTTGTTTCATGGAGCTTGTACAATGCAATGACCACGTGACCATATCGTTGGCTACGGCTTTTACAATGTCCAACGATTACAATTTTAATCATTGTGTTCCAATCGATTGATTATTATTTTTTATTTTTTCTTATGTTTCAACAATTGGAACACAATGTGTTATACATGGGGCCAAATGTTTCAACCTGTATTTGACGGTATTTTCTTTCTGTCTTTCTTTTACATTGCACTGCACTTCTCAAATGATCCATACGTGTAACTTTAATGGTGTTTTGTTGTGCGCTAGTTCCTCGTACATTTGTTTTCTCAAACTTTTTGTTTCACAATGTATATCTTGATGTTCCAGTGACCGTCCAATTTTCTGGCTTAGATTGGACATCCGATGCCTAATCTAAATTGTAAAAATTCAGTACATTTTGTTTAATTTTCTAAAGTTGATTTCACATATAGATTTGAACTTGAATGTCTGAACATCTCAAGGCCTGAAGACTTTCCTTTGCCTGTCACTATTCCCGGCTTGCCAGTAACCTCACTGTATCAGCATCAGCTTCACCCTCGCCTGAGCCGTAGACGCCGGCGCCGCCATCGCCGTCGCCGTCGCCTCTCTCACCACCGCCCTTCTCCTCCTCCTCCGATCCAACGAGCTCGAATCGCCGCGTGTCGCCGCCGCCACCGCCGCACGAGCCCTCCTCCAGCTCGACGTGCCGCAGCTCCGTCGTCGCCTGCGTGTCGCCGGTGGCGGCGTCGGCGGCGGCCAGCGATTGCATCGCGCGCGCGCGGTCCCTGTCCCGCGGGTACGTGCAGTACAGGAACGAGTATATCGCGCTGCACGCCGTCATCGGGATCGCGATCGCCGCGTACAGCGCCTTCGCCAGCGACGCCGCGTTCTCCCTGTCCCTCTCGACTCCGCCGCCGCCGCCGCCGGCGGCGGCTGGCTTGAAGCCGTACACGTGCTGCGACAGGTAGCCGACGGCTGGCGGCGCGAACGACGCCAGGATCGACTCGAACGACCTGTCGAGCGCGTAGATGCTCGTTCTTGATTTCTCCGGCACAATCTCTGCGAAAATTGGGCTGCCCACGATGAACAAATCACTCGACATCAATGATCAGATTACACCACGATCATTTTCCGAATGGAAAGTTTTGAGATGTAATCTGTGACATACTTGTTAGTGGCAGCTGCGTTCCATGAGATGATGAGACCCATGACGAACAGCACGAGGCAGTGGGCGACGCCGGTGGACGGATCGTCGGGGAGCGCCAGCAGCAGGACGGCAGCGAGGGGCACGGCCGAGCCGGCGCTGATCTGCGACAGCACGATCCTCCCGGCGTCGGGGTAGCGGCGGGCGAGCGCGTCCCCCATCTTGCCGCCGAGGAGGCCGCCGAGCGACGTGGCGACGGCGAACACGGTGGTGAACACGGCGGTCTCGCCGTGGCTGAACCCGACGAGCTCCAGCCACATCGACAGGAACGACAGCGCCGACCACGGGAACGAGCCGCTCACCCCCTGCGCCACGAAGATCTGGAACGTCGGGATCCGGCACACCGCCCTCGCCTCCCAGGCCAGCTCCCTCGCCTCGTCCCACGCCGACCGCCGCCGCCGCCGTCGCCCGGCGCGCCGGCGGGGAAATGCGGGTCGACGGCGAAGAGCCAGACTAGGACGCCGACGGCGACGCTGATGGCGGCCACGAGGTGGAACGCGACGCGCCAGCCTTCGACGCCGAGGACGGTGGTGGACGCCAGCAGCAGCGCCGAGAAGCCGCCGATGATGGAGCCGATGCTGCTGGTCAGCTGCAGCCACCCGAACGCCGCGCCGCGGTTGCCGTCGTCGGTGGAGTCGGCGACCAGCGACTGCACCGCCGGGATGACCAGCGCGAGGCCGATGCCATTGAGGCCTCTCGAGATCGCCACCTGCAAAAATAAAATAAAATAAAATAAAATAAAAAATCACACACACACACAGAGACACACACTGTCAGTTTTCAGCTGGGTTTTTTTAGATAATGGAATAGATAACATCCCGGCCTTTATTCAACAGAGCTACAACCAATTATTACAATCTAACACTCGAACAAAGAGTGTAGTTCAAATAGAATTAAACACACCCAAACATTATAAAAGTGACCAGACCAAGATAAGTAACACACAATTATTCAAGCTGGGTACATTGACCTAATTTTATTTTGCAGTTGATTGAGATTAGTACAGGCAAGTCAAGTGAGCGAATTCACAGAAATTTCGAACTTGTATCAAGAAGTCAAGAATGACAAGGTAGATCTTGGAAATTTTGACCTTGGCACATTGATGTCCAAATAATTCAGCAATTTCTCCATCACCAATTCACCATGTGTCGCTTACAATAATCAAGTTGCAATGGTTGCTTAGTCAAGAGTCAAGTGTGACTTCAACATCCTTAATCAATTATCATCATTTCAACCGTGGGAAAAAAATTCTAAAAACTGACTTAGCAAATTCCATCTACCAAGTCGCAGCTCCAGCAGAAAATTCTTTGCTGTTTTCTCTTGCATAAATTCGTCGATTTGGCAAATTTCTTCGTAGCATTTGACATTTGGAGTACTACTAATAAGTATATTTAAGCAAACAAATCACTTCGAACACACGAAGATTGCAGAGAGAGCTGAGACATCAATTAGCAGCTGCCTTTTTCCTAACCAAACTGATTAAGATCGACGAACCAAACAAGCAATGCGAGCGACTAATTACCTGGAGGAAGGTGCCGGAGACGGCGACGAGGAAGGTGGCGGCGGCCCAGAGGAAGGCCCCGGCGGCGACGACGTGCGCGCGATTGTGGCGCGACGCGGCGTAGGCGGCGACGGGGTAGCACGCCGCCTGCACGGCGGAGCGGCACAGCGTGAGCGCGCCGAGCCCCGTCGGCGTCGCGTGCAGCGCCGCGCCCACCTCCCGGTACACCGCCGGCAGCAGCGCCTCGTCGGCGCGCTCCATGATCGACGCCAGGTTCACCAGCACCAGCGTCCGCCGCTCCTCCCACGTCGTGGCCGCCGCCGCCGCCGCTGGGACGAGCCCCATCCAGCCGGCCGCCGGAGCTTCCTCTTCGCCTCTCACCTCGAGCTCGGGGTGCCCGCCATTGGCAGCGAACTAGCTAGGAGCTCGCGCGCCGGCGGCAGCAGCGGCGATCTGGAGATATCTTTTCGCGCGAATTTTATAATCTACGTTATGACTCGTCCTGGGCGCGTGCACGGCTATCTACCCTCACACTGACATGTGGGGCCAGGGGAGGGTGGGGTCCACGTGTCAGTGAGTGTTTCAAGTGGACTAGTAATTCTTTTTGACCGAACGATTGTGATTATGACCAGGAGTTGGCAAGTTGGGTTCTGATTGGCTGGTTCTTGAGGGGCCACATGTCAGTGAGACAACTGACACTTGCGATAGTTGCCTTTCTTTAACTATTATTTTTTCCTAACGAAATGTATGGATTTGTCTTGGAACGACTAAAAATTATTTCTTGTCACGTTGTTTAGTGCTAATTTATTGTTCACTTGCACGTGCAGCAACGAGGCAGCACAGCATGCGATTTTAATCAGTTGGTAGCTGACCTGATCTCATCGTGATTCAGATGACGATTTTCTTCAGATTCCAGCAGAGAATTTGTTGCGTATTATGAGCATTTGTCTGTCAAAGCCATTTGGGGAATTTACTGTCAACCATGAATCATTTCTGAAGATGAGCATGACACATTCTGAATTTTAGTACCAGAGCCATTCCATGGCATGAACATCTCCTTGTGGCTGAGATTAGGATTCAGACATTCAAGTCTGCTCCAAACTGAGCACATTCCTTTTCTTCTCCATTGTTTAAGGTGGGCAAATCCTTTGTTTATCATTCAGTAGATTTTGCAATCCAATGGCACCATTGAGAGGTTAGAATTCTGAATCAAACTGATTTATGTGAAGCATGGCAATCTCCATTATGAAAACAGAACAACATTATTATGTTATTAGGTCGTTGTAAAAAAAAATTGTTGCAAGAACTATTAAAATACAATACAAGCAATTGCTTCGGTTGACATTCTATAGCATTAGCTTTAGTGTAAAGGTTTATACCAGTTACAAAAGATAAGTTCATTGTGCCGTATATCAGGACTTTTTAACACCAGATGGACAAAAATGACAATACTTATCCTATCACTAACAGATAGATCTCCATTCTACATTTCCTAAATGGCTAAGTGAGAACATAAGTTTTGTCCAAAATTGACACTGTAGAACTCAGAACATTTGCCTGATAAATTGCTAAACATAAAGTCCTCTCTGTTGTTACGACTCCCTGTTTGCCAATAGTTTTGCAGTATCCTTCTCAGTCTCTGATAAACCCTTGACATCGTTGGTCACTTCAATTGTAGCTATTTCATCGTCATGTGGTGAGTCAACAACCTGAAAACGGCAATCGCCTTCTTCCAAACAAGAACCCTCCTGCTCCATCTGCTGCAATTCAGACTCTATCAGAGATTGCATACGTGCACGCTCTCTATCCCGAGGATAACTGCAGTACAAGAATGAGTATATGGAGGTGCAGATCGTAAATGGTATCGCAATAGATGTGTACAATGCCTTGGCCAAAGATGCAGCATTCTCCCTGTCTAACTGAACACTCTGTCCTTTGTTATCTGGCCTGTATCCATACACGCGCTGAGCTAAGATGCCAACAATAGGGGGAGCGAAGGATGCCAGTACGGACTCGAAAGACCTGTCAAGAGCATAGATGCTTGTTCTTGACTTCTCCGGAACAATCTCCGCAAAAATAGGGCTGCAAGGCAAGCAAGAGGTGCAAACATTAGAGTACAGCATATAGTAGAGAAAATGTAAATTTTGAACAAAAAGATGTGGCAAAAAAATAAGTTTTTTCATCATCATATAGAATACTTCTGTGTGTGAGGAAATGACATACAAGTTTGTAGCAGGACCATTCCAAGAGATGAATACGCCCATAATGAACAGCACAATGCCATAGGCAAATCCCTTGGATGGATCATCAGGGAGACCCAGTAGTAGCACTGCAGCTAGAGGCACAGCTGAACCAGCACTGATCTGTGACAAAACAATCCTCCCAGCATTCGGATAGTGCAGAGCAAGGAAATCACCCATCTTACCCCCAAGAAGACCACCAAATGAGCTTGCAACCCAGAAAATCGTCATTAGAAAAGCAGTTTCCTTGTGGCTGAATCCAATAAGCTCGAGCCACATGGACGCGAAAGAAAGTGCTGACCAAGGGAATGTACCACTGACTCCCTGAGCGACAAAAATCTGGAATGTTGGAATCTGAACCACAAACTTGGCCTCCTTGATCATTTCCTCAATAACTTGCCAAGCAGACTGTTTAGTGACCAGCCTGTCACACGTTCCAGCATTGCTTCTTGGAAAGTGAGGATCCACAGCAAAAAACCAGTTCAGGATCCCTACAAAGACACTAATGATCGCCACAAGATGGAAGGCAATGCGCCATCCTGCAATACCGAAGACCGTGGTTTGTGCCAGCAGCAAACCGACGAAACCCCCAGAGATGAGGCCTAGGCTGCTAGCAAGCTGCAACCATCCGAATGCTGTTCCACGCGTGCCATCTTCAGTGGAATCAGCCACCAATGACTGGATTGATGGTACCACCAGAGCAAGGCCAATGCCGTTCAGACCCCTTGCGAGTGCTACCTGGCATGATAAGTGCCACTGTAAGCTTGCAATTGAAAATGATCATATTATACTGGTCACAACAAAATAGAGAGGGAGCACTTGCCAAATAATTCGGTTACTTGGTGAGCATGTCATGTATCACTATAGGCAACATGAATGTGAACTTACTGCCCTTGCTTGTTTCTTTTATCGAGATCGAAATATTCCTGAAGGTTTTTACAAACATGTTTCTATGAAGTTATGAGAAAAGTATAGCATTGAGCCATTGACAACAATAGTAGTCTTGATAACTATGATATGCTACTTGTGCATTCTGACAAATGATCAGAAAGTTCGCCGATTGTAGAATAGCTACCTCCCGGTCATCTTAGAGTCAAACATTAGTCCCTAAATTGTTGGGCAACGGGAGACTCTAAATTAAGCATTTCGACAGTTCGAACTCGTGAAATTTCAATCCAATCTAAGCGGCTTTCCATTTTTTTGGTCGTAAAATTGAGATTGTTTAGCTCATATCCATAATTAATCAAGCTCTAGCAAAAGGGGAGAAAAACAGTACACGACTACACGCTAGGTTTTGATGCAACCTGTGTCTCCGCGCCGCCATCTCGTCTACACCAGTAACGCAGAGGCGCGGAAGCTGGTGCCCGCGCCGTCCCCGGAGAAGCCGGCCAAGCGACAGAGCACGCCGTGCCCTAGGGCAGGGCAAGATCGCCGCGCCGCCCGACCGCCGCCGAAGCCGGTTCGCCGCTGCGGCGGCGTGCGCGCGGGCGATGAGGGGGCCCTCTCATCGACGGCATCCGCCCTCGCCCTGTGGCTCCGGCCGTGCTCCACCTCCACCACCGCGCCGCCACCGCCGCGGCGCTCACCGGCACGGTGATGTGGAGGTGGCGACTACAAGAGCCCATTGGGCTAGGCTTTGTATTCAGCTGAAATCTGGCCCGGTTTTGAATTCTCAATTTAATCGTAAGTTTCAGTTTGACAAAAACATCTCGAAAATTTGTGCCCCCAAAATTTGAACCGGTGAATCCATTTCTCGAGCAGGGCTACTGTTTGGAACTGTGATTTGCACAAACTCATGTAATTAATCAGTTGCGGTGTTAAACACACCATTGATTTTGACTTTTTGAGCGGAGATCTGAACTCATCGGAAGCACAAAGCAGAAACGGGAGATCGTGGTTCACACCTGGAGGAAGGTGTCGGAGACGGCGACGAGTAAGGTGGCGGCGGCCCAGAGGAACGCCCCGGCGGCGATGACGTGGGCGCGGTTGTGGCGCGCGGCGGCGTAGGCGGCGAGCGGGTAGCACGCGGCCTGCACGGCGGAGCGGCACAGCGTGAGCGCGCCGAGCCCCGCCGGCGTGGCGTGCAGCGCGGCGCCCACCTCCTGGTACACCGCCGGCAGCAGCGCCTCGTCGGCGCGCTCCATGATCGACGCCAGGTTCACCAGCACCAGCGTCCGCCGCCGCTCCCGCTCCACGTCCACCTCCACCACCTCCGGCTGCTGCAGCTGCTGCCCCATCATCCCCTCACCTCCGTCGTCTTCTCCGGCGAGGAATCTCTGATCTCTCTCTCTCTCTTCTCCGGGCATTAGTACTTCTGCCGCTCCGGCGATCCAGGGTCAGGGTCGCCTCTGTACTTCGCGGGAAATTTAGTATTAATTCCGGCTGCTCTCCCTGCTGCGCGGGGAGAACGAGACTCGTCGTGTTTAACCGTCTATGACGCGTGGGCACCACCGGAACGTGGGGCCCACCTGGCAGTGGGAGTGTTGGCGTGGTGTATGGTTCGGAAGTCAGGTGCTGTCGAGGTCAGCAAGTCGGGGTGGAATTGGAAAGCGTTGAGGCGAGAGATACTTGGGACGCTTCCCATTGGTCTGTTTCTTGTGGGGCCTGGTTGGAGGTGACTTGGGTACAGAAACTACAGATTACTTGGATGAAGCATAGTAATTCCCGCTCAAAGTATAGCAAATTAATGTCTTTTTTTTTCCTGACACTTTGGTTTTGTATGACTATCTTATGGTTTGACAACATGTGCACCATGGCTGCCACAAATAATCTGTGTTCGGAACACATGGTTACCAACCCAAGCTATCCGCGTAGAAAACGGAGCGGTTCATTAGCGCATAATTAATTAAGTATTTGCTAATTTTTTTCAGAAATGGGTCAATATGATTTTTTTATGTAACTTTCGTATAGAAATTTTTTACAAAAAAACGCACCATTTAGCAGTTTGAAAAGCGTGCGCGTGGAAAACAACGGAGGTGAATTGGGAAAGTGGAGGAAAGAACTCTTGTGTTTTGACTTCAACCATCTTCTGATCCACTATACCCATTTTGCTTAAGTGGCACTAGGTATGCATCTTGGGTCACAGTGGCTAACAAGTGAACCCACTTATAGGTTAAAATAAATGGGTTTGCAGCTTATTTTGATCTATAAATTGATTTTGCGGGTTAGCCACTTACATCCTTATTATACGCATCCATCAGCAGCTAATATAATCGGCTCGCTTGTGATCTTACCGTGGATGTACTGGACATTCAATTCTTTTAACTTTGTATAGTTACATTACATTACATAATACATTCATAGGATGGGAGAACACCTTGTCTACAAAATGCATATGTGGATAAAAACTAATAATTGTATATCAAATCCACTTTATTTTAATACTAGCTCCACGTAAATTTACGCGGGAAAAACCGCTGGTTCTACTTTACCATTGAAAAATTGTTACAAGTACTAAAATATAATAAAGCAATTGCTTTGCTTAACATTCTACAGCTCCAGCTTTGGTGTAAAATTTGTAACATTAGTACATGTTTGAAAATATCAGATTCATCGTGTTGTACTACCTCCATATTTTAATGTATGGCACCGTTGACTTATTGTCTAATGCTTGACCATTCGTTTTATTCAAAAAAATTATGTAATTATCATTTATTTTATTGTGACTTGATTCGTCATCAAATGTTCTTTAAGCATGATATAAATATTTTCATATTTGCACAAAAATTTTGAATATAACGAATGGTCAAACGTTGGTTGAAAAGTCAACGGCGTCATACATTAAAATACGGAGGGAGTATATCAGATCTTCTCAACAACAAATGGACAAAAAAAAAACAACTAGATTCAATCTAACACTAACTGACCAACAGATAGGTCCCCAATCTACAATTTCTAAATGGCTAAATAAGAAGACTAGTTTTATAAAAAATAGGCATTGTAGAATTCATAACATTTGCCTAATAAATTGACAAGCTTAAAGTTCTCCTTTGCTATTAGGATTCCCTGTTCGCCAGTAGTTTTGCAGTATCCTTTTCAGTATCAGGTAAATCCTTCACATCATAGGTCAGTTCTAATTCACCATTAGCTGAGTCAAAAACCTGAAAACGACAATCCCCATCTTCCAAACAAAAACTTTCCTGCTCCATCTGCTGCAATTCAGATTCTATCAGAGATTGCATACGTGCACGCTCTCTATCCCGGGGATAACTGCAGTACAGGAACGAGTATATGGAGGTGCAAATTGTAAATGGTATTGCAATAGATGTGTACAATGCCTTGGCTAAAGATGCAGCATTCTCCCTGTCTAACTGAATACTCTTTCCTTTGTCATCTGCCCTGTATCCAAACACTCGCTGAGCTAAAATGCCAACAATAGGGGGAGCGAAAGATGACAGTACGGACTTAAAACACATGTCAAGAGCATAGATACTTGTTCTTGACTTCTCAGGTACGATCTCTGCACAAATAGGCCTGCAAGACAAGCAAGAAACGTTATAGTGGTAATATACTAGAGCAAATATAAATTTAAACAAAAGGTTGTGGCAAAGATTTTTATTTTCATCATCAGATATATCATAGTCGAGCAAAGCAAATGCAAAATTGGGACAATATGATGTGGCAAAGATTATGGTTTTTATCATCATATAGAACACTTCTTATGTACCAGAGGAAAATGACGTACAGGTTTGTAGCAGGACCATTCCAAGAGATGAATAAACCCATGATGAACAGCACAATGCCATAGGCGATACCCTTAGATGGATCATCAGGAAGACCCAGTAGTAGCACCGCAGCTAGTGGCACAGCTGAACCAGCACTGATCTGCGACAAAACAATCCTCCCAGAATTCGGATATCGCAGAGCAAGGAAATCACCCATCTTACCACCGAGAAGACCACCAAATGAACTTGCAACCCAGAATGTCGTCATTAGAAAAGCGGTGTCTTTGTGGCTGAATCCGATAAGCTCAAGCCACATGGACGCAAAAGAAAGTGCTGACCATGGGAATGAACCACTCACTCCTTCAGCCACAAATATTTGGAATGTCGGAATCTGAACCACAAACTTGGCCTCCTTGATCATTTCCTCAATGACTTGCCAAACAGATTGCTTACAGACTGGTCTATCGCACGAGCCAACATTGCCTGCCGGAAAGTGAGGATCAACAGCGAAGAACCAGTTCAGAATCCCTACAAAGACACTAATGATTGCCACAAGATGGAAAGCGATGCGCCATCCTGCAATACCGAAGACCGTGGTTTGTGCCAGCAGCAAACCAACGAAACCCCCTGAGATGAAGCCTAGGCTGCTGGCAAGTTGCAACCATCCGAAAGCCGATCCACGCGTGGCACCATCAGTGGAATCAGCAACCAATGACTGGATTGATGGTACCACCAGAGCAAGCCCAATTCCGTTAAGACCCCTAGAGATTGCTACCTACAATAGTAAGTACGGTTGTAAGTTTCCAATTGATATTGGTTCAGGAGCACGATTTTTCTGGTTAGCACAAAATATATACAGAACACTCGCTCAACATTTCAGTTACTTTGGTGCACATGTCTTGCACCAAATTAGGATACATACTAACTGCTTGACAAACATTTGTATGAAGTTCAACAAAAAGGATAGCAATGACCAGTATTAGTCATGATAACTATCAAATGCCAGTTTCCAATTTTGACAAATAATCAGATGTTCTCCTATTCTAGATAGCTCCCTCCTAACCTTAAGCAAACATTAGACCCTGAAAATGGTTGGGCAATGATGGATATAAATTGGGCATTTCGGCAATCCTAATTCTTGTAATCTCTACTGAATCTGCTCCCCTTTCCCATTTTGTTTATAGTAAATTATTCTTTAGCCCATATATCATTGAAAAGAAATTCAGTTTCTGCCAAAAGGGGGGAAAACAGTGCATTCGTAGCTTTGCTATTTTTTTGCTCTAACCTGTGTGTCAGGCTGTGAGCGCCGCCACCTCGTCTTCACCAACAACGTCGATGCACGGAAGCTGGTGCCCACGTACGCCGTCCCGGAGAAGCAGGCCATGCGGCTCACCCGCGGCGGTGCCCTGGCCGGGGCCGGGCAAGATCGCCGCGCCAACCCCCACCGCCGCCAGAAGCGGATGCGCCGGTGCGGCGTACGCGCGGGAGACGATGGGCCTCTCATCAACGGCATCGGCGCCTCGCCGCCCGCCGGCGATCTCGCCCGTGCTCCTCCGCCGCGGCGCATGACTCCGGCACGGTGATGTGGATGCGGCGAGGCGGCGGGGTTAGAAATGAGCCCATGGGCTGGGCTTACATTCAGTTGAAATCTGGCCCGATTTTAATTTAAATTATAAATTCAATCCTTTATTAATTGATTCTCAGAAAAATTGCGGCCCCCAATATTTGTTTAGACGGATACATTTCTCAAGTAAATTCAAATTTTTGCTCTTTATAAGTGAGATGTGTGATTTTCTTAATTAATTACACCTGAACAATTCATAAACACCATCAGAAGATGCCCACGGATAAAAGTTTTGTTTCAGTCTGTTTACAATTCAAGTAGGGATAGCAATTAGCAAACCTGCTAGATTTAAGATCTACCTAGATTTAAGATCTACTCTCCCGGCCATAATCCCATCTTTTGTTAAACATTATACTGATGGAGCATAATCCAAACCTAAGTAGTTAAACACAGAAGAATTTAAATTTAAGATGTCGGAGCAGAGATCTGAACGCATCTAGCAGCGGAAGCAGCGAATGATTTAGAGCAGGAAGTAGGAACGGAGCTTAATTAACGAATTAAAATCTCGGAGACATCGGCATCAGCAGCAGTAGCTCGTGCTCACCTGGAGGAAGGTGTCGGAGACGGCGACGAGGAAGGTGGCCGCGGCCCAGAGGAACGCCCCGGCGGCGATGACGTGGGCGCGGTTGTGTCGCGCGGCGGAGTAGGCGGCGAGCGGGTAGCACGCGGCCTGCACGGCGGAGCGGCACAGCGTGAGCGCGCCGAGCCCCGCCGGCGTGGCGTGCAGCGCGGCGCCCACCTCCCGGTACACCGCCGGCAGCAGCGCCTCGTCGGCGCGCTCCATGATCGACGCCAGGTTCACCAGCACCAGCGTCCGCCGCCGCTCCCTCTCCACGTCCACCTCCGGCTGCTGCGCCGTCATCCCCTCACCTCCGTCGTCTTCTCCGGTGAGGAATCTCTCTCTCTCTCTCTCTCTCTCCGGCTCCGGCGATCCAGGGTCGCCTCTTCTCCAGTTCGCGGGAAATTTAATATTCCGGCTGCTATGTACAGCTACACGGGATATTCTAGGACTCTTCCGGCCTCTTTGGCACAGGTCCAGCTGCAGCTCCACCCCTTCTGGAGCTGGAGCTCAACCCCTTCTGGAGCTGGAGCTCAGCCAAATAGTTTCAGCTCTAGTAAAACTGGGGGTGAAACTAAGTGGACCTCTCTCACAGAATAAAGTTGTGGAGCAGTTTAGACAGCTCCACAACTCCACTACAAACCTAACTATTGAAGCTAAATTTAGGAGTTGGAGCTATACCAAACAGGCACTTCGTGTTAGTCTCCATGACGCGTGGGCACCACTGAACGTGGGGCCCACCTAGCAGTGAGGTTATTGTGGTTTGGACGTGGGATGGAGTAGAGGTGCTCACGAGGTGAAAGCTGGTGGGAAGCACGCGATGCGATGAGGGTGAGAAAGTATTTTAATCCCTCAGTCCCCTTATTATTTGCATGACACTTAAATAATTATAAAAAAATTAAAAAAAAATGAGAAAGTGTATTAACATGTGATATTATACTCCACAAATATACATGTTCAAATTCAACTTCTACATCTCGTAACGAAAAAAACAAATTAAACCACAGCTAGTTAACGTATATTCAGAGTCAAATTTGTTTTTTTCGTTGCGAGATGTAGAAGTTGAATTTTTACTTGCATATTTATGAAGTGATATATCACATGTTAATACATCTTCTTAAATTTTTTTATAACCATTTGAGTGACATGCAAATAACGAGGGGATATCCCCTCGAGGGATCAAAGTCCTCTTCCGTACATGGAAGCGTTGAGCCGAGGTAGTTGTGGGGCTTCCCATTGGTCCGTTTCTCGTGGGGGCCCAAATGGAGGTGACTTGGGGTAAGTATGAGTGGATAATGCATAGGTCAATGTAGTTCTCCCTCGTCTTTTTTTCAAAAATGCTGACCGTCAGTCGCTTGGGGGGAGGGAGCCAAAATCGGGCGCTCCCTCCCTCCAAGACACGCGCCCCTAGCCCCACCCACGTGTCCCCTGTCCCCACCTGCCACTTGTCCACACACACAACTCCATTGCAACAAATCACCCACATATTTTGGAAACCATCTATTAAGGAAATTCGTTCTATTTTTTGTTCCACCAAAAATGTTTCATCTAGTGTACCCACAATATTTCATTATGTATAGATCTAACATTGTAGTAAACGAAATATTCTTTTGCAACAAATCACCCACATATTTTGGAAACCCTCTATTAAGGGAATTGGTTTCATTTTTTGTTCCACCAAAAAAATGTTTCACCTAGCGTACTCACAATGTTTCATTATGTATAGATCTAATCTTACAGTGAACTTAAACATTCTTTCGCTATTTGTTGAAACATTGTTTTTATATAAGGTAAAAAAACACCCGATTTAAACGATTGAAACATTTTTGATTTACTTAGTGAAACAATTCCGATATACTTGGTGGAAAATCGTGCAACATTTAAAAATAATTCAATAATAAGCTAAAAAAAATTTCGTTGGAATATATCCATGTGTGGCCTTGTTTTGAAGATTTAATAGCAACAAATTTAATGGTGCAATCTGATCATGATTTGGATAAATAATTTAAGAGAAAAATTAGTTTAAAGTGGTTTTCCACGCATGCGTGGTGCTGACGTTAGCGCCCAATTTTTGGATGCCTGGATCGGGCGACCGATCGATAGTCTCTCCTCTTTTTTCTTCTCCAAGACTTGGCAAATTAATATGTTTATAATTACTGTTTTCATTGCCTATCTGTTTGAGAATCTTATGGTTTGACAGTATCACATTCTGGGTTAAGCTCCGTTTCAAATTGTTGACGCCGAATCGCGCCATCTCACAACTTAAGCATTTTATGTGCAATCCACGGTAGCACCAAGAGATGCGGGCTGCAAGAGAGGTAGATGACGCCAAACAAACATCCACGATGGACCACGTCAAGCGGTCAAGGTGAACACTCGTCGGCTTGTCTTAAACTCGATAGGCCAATTAGGACATCTTCTAATGTCATAGAGACCAGAGACGGCGAGCAATTAGGGGATCTTGGAGGAGAACAAACTTAGGTTGTGTTGTTCCCCTAATTTTCCTAACTCACCTCTCTCGTTTTCCGCATGCACGCTTTTTAAATTACTAAATGGTGTGTTCTTTGCAAAAAAAAATCTATATGAAAGTTGTTTTAAAAAAATATATATTAATCTATTTTTCAAAAAAAAAAAATAGTCATGCAATAATACGTGCTTCGTTTTGTGTGCCGGCTTCTCCCGAACGCTTCCTTAGGATAGGTAACAAGGGAGATGCATAATATAGATGATTTGGATAATATATTGATTTTGACGATTGATTAGATGTTCTTTCAATCGGCCTTGACTTCTATAAATATATTTATAGGAGGGGTGGACTTGCTTATTAGGGTCTTTCCCACGTGCAATGACATCCCTTCGAGTCGACGAAATATAGAGCATCTTGCAGACCTAGCTGGTAGCATAATACGGAGTACAGTAATAATGTATTAATATACTCGGTGGTAAAAGTATAGGGTATACCAGCTCAGTGGCACAATGTTACTCTCCTAGTTCAACTCCTCTACCAGCTTCATCATGCTTGAAAAACATATCTTTTTTCACAGAAAAGAACTGCTAATTTCTTGCCCTGCATACTCCTCTCCAACAAATGAATTTACTGCTCTGATTGTCTTTGTACTTGGACTAAATACTGAACGACAAAATGAAGTTAATATCTATCTATCTATCTATCTATCTATCTATCTATCTATCTATCTATCTATCTATTATCTATCTATTATATACTAAAAGCCCATTAAACTTCCTACAAACGCTCCCAAGCTGCCACATGGCGCTCTAATAAATTAGAGAAATCCTAGAAATTTTGAGAAAAAAACAAAACATCTAACCGTTGATTTTCATTTAAATCAGTGGGCCCACTGTTTCCAACCATTAAAAAAAAAATCCCTAACAGTTGCTCCTCTCTCCCATACGTATGTACCCCTCCCTCCGTCAGGTACGTAAATCCTTCCTTGATCCACCTCTGTCCCTACATATATACCCACCTTTATCACATATATAAATGGCTCTACATCTATTGGTTCTATCATTTTCCTCCTCTTCCTCTTATATTCAATAAAAACATAACCAATAATTATATATATATAGTGCTATTTATTGGAACAAGCAATATTTTCACTTTTAAATTAATTTATTAGAATAATCATTTAATTTATAACTAAACCAATAATATAAGATTAATTTATAATTAAAAATTAGATCATGTGATCTCTATCTAATTAATTTTTATACGATTTTGTCAGTTAAAAAAACAGAGGAGGTGAGGAGCGAGAAGGACAAATAAATACATACTTACATGCACGTCTGACGTACATGTCTCACGCCTTTTTATTTTTTAAGATAATTCTAACTATATAAAATAATGGGTCTCTCATCTTTAAGTTAAAATCGATAGTTAGACTTTTTTTTAGATTTTTTATAATTTTATCTGATTTATTATACTGTCACGTGATGGTTTAGTAGCGTTTGTAGAATCACACGTGGAATGTATATGCTTGGCGCTCTAATAAATTAGAAAAATCCTAGAAAATCAGAGAAAAAAAACATTCAACCTTCAATTTTCACTAAAATTGGTGGACCGTTATTTTAAACCGTTGGATTACATCTATTAAAACTCCCACATTGCTAATCTCCATCCCCAAAAAGAATAACGTACGTACGTATATAGTTCGTACGATCATCTCACTTTGTGGAAAAAAACTTAATTACCTACGTCATATACTATGGAGAAAAACGATAAATCAAAAAATATATCAATAGTAAAATCAAAGAAATACTAATCAAGAAAAAAACATCATACGGGCCGTCCGGCACTTATGTGTTGTCAGTAGCCTTTAAACTACGATTTTATTAAAAATAATACTACACAGAAATAAGTAGGGGGCAAAAATTATCTATTTTCATCACCTCGTACTCCTTTCTGTCCCTCTCCGTCCTTCAATACAGGGTATAGTATTTACTATGCTATCGTAAATATTGCAAGGGTATACATATGGTTGAGTTAAGGTGGCATCAGTGAAAGGCTACTGTAGGCAATGTATATAAAGGGACATATAACTAATAGAATCATTTGTGGGTGTGCCAATAGTGAATTAAGTGTTAAATGATGCTATAGCCTGGTCTTTGGGGGCACGGCTACGTCGATGTTGGACTGATGTTTCATGGCATTACATAAGAAAGCCTTGGCAGTTATAGTCGACTTTATCTGTTAGAGAGACATTCATGTCTATTTTTAACGGTGCTATTGTATTATTCGATTGAAGTGGTATGTTTAGACTATTTATACATAGATGTGGAAATAAGTGATGAACACCAAGTTAAGCAGTGTAGATGATTTTTAGTGTATTAATAATGTATAATTTATTTTAGTGGCATATGGCGCTCCTACAATTGCTCCTAGACCGCCATGTGGCACAATCTAATCTCACCATCGATTTTCATTTAAATTGGTGGACCCGTTATTTTATATCATTAAATTAGATCTATGCTGTTGATTTTCATTTAAATTGGTAGACCCATTATTTTTGTACTAATAAACCAGATCTATATATAATACCTTTCTGCTATATGTAATGTTTGCCGAAAGGAAGAAAACATCCGTACGATAAAGATGAAAACTTCCTCATGTTTAATATACAGGCGCTACTACTGTACGTATGAGTCCATACGTACTATACAAATACTTCCATACGTGCCAACGTACATGATTTTTCCTAATCTTGCTGGAAAAAAAATACTCATGAACTTAAAAAGGATAGAAGAAAGACACATCCATAAAAATTAACGGTCTTTAAAATATAATTTTCGATAAAATATATTAATTCACAAATATAAATATATTTAGTTAAATAAAGATCTATCTATTATATAATAAATATCCAATCAATGTTTTTTAAACCATCTTCTAAATATATCTATTATATATTAAAAGTACATTAAACTTTCTATAAATGCTTTTACACTGCTACGTGACTCTAAAATAAATTAGAGAAATCCTAGAAATCTATTATATACTTAAAAATCTATGAAACTTACTGCAAACGCTCCTACATATTTTCACGTGGCGCTCTAATTTAGAGTAATCCTAGAAATTTAGAGTAAAAAAAGAAAAGCATACAACCTTCAATTTTCACTTAAATTAGTGGACCCATTATTTTAAACATTGGATTAGAGCTCTTAAAATTCCCATTGCTAATCTCTATCCCAAAAAAAAAACAAAATTTAAATACCTACACCATATATGATCGAAAAAAAGATAAAGCCAAAAAAATAAAAAGAAAACATAAACATGTACATTGTAGAATCGGAAAGAAATACTAATAAGGAAAAATCATCGATGCCGGCACAGATTTATTGTCAACAGCCTTTAATTTACGATTTTAAGATTTTCGTCCCCAATCTAATATTATAGTCCCGGTGTAGATAGAAATTCCTTTATGGTCTAATTCTGAGCGGTAGTAAATACCAGGACTTAGTAATATTTGATTGATCACAATTTGGTATATTCCATTTATTATAAAGGTTGCTAAGGAATTCATTATAGGAATGCTTCCATTGGAAATGGTTTTCTTTTGCATATCGAAACAAAAAATTAATCGTGTGGATACGTATAATTCAGAAGAATAGGTGAGTGATTCATACTCAGCATCCCTTTCTTTTATCGAAGGTTCTAGCAATTGATATCGGGATTTTAATAGTTGAGTGATTCATACTCAGCATCCCTTTCCTTTATCGAAGATTCTAGCAATTGATATCGGGATTTTTATTTAAATCTAAGAGACATTCTTATCACAGAAGTAGTATATTAAAATCTACCATCTATTTTACATAAATATATTTCTTTTTTATTGTAGGATAATCTAAATTCCCTTACAGTATATATATACAGTGATGTATGATTCCTTTTAGTATTTTTTTAATAACAAATAAGATGTCCGTGTATCTGTGCGGAATTACTTTCCGATTTATATTTCGGAAATGTTCTCCAATTTATATTATGTCATTATAGTGTTTGAAAAACAAACTATAATACATACCCACGCATCGCGTGGGCTACCTTCCTAGTTCACTGAAAAGCTGGCTACAATGGTGCAAACTAGGACCTGGAATTACTGAACCCGTGTAATCTGTTTCCTGTACAAAAACCGTGGAAAATTTTTGGCAGATTGTATCATGAAGTTCAGGAGCTTTTCTGACCTGATCACTCCTTTGGTCACCTGCCAACACTGCCACACTGTTCAACATGGTAACGCATCAACGCTTTCTCATCATCATCATCATCAACAACATCACCAGACTCTTCCTCACCATACTCGACATCGATCACGGTGCCATCCTTGCTTCTCCTACTTCCTATTCCTGCCCGATGGCACCGCTCCAGCTCGATCTGCTGGAGCTCCGACGCGATCAAGGTGTCCATCCTCGCCCTCTCCCTGTCGCGCGGGTACGTGCCATACAGCAGGGAGTAGATGAAGCAGCAGAGCAGCATGGGGATGGCGATCGCGGTGTACAGAGCCTTGGCCAGGGCAGCGGCGTTCTCCCTGTCACTGCTCGATCCGGCTCCGTAGGAGACCGGGTTGTAGCCGTAGGCGTGCTCCGCCAAGAACCCGACGATCGGTGGAGCGAATGAGGCTAGGACCGACTCGAAAGAGCGGTCCAGAGCGTATATACTTGTCCTTGATCTCTCAGGAACAATCTCCGCAAATATGGGGCTGCACATGAGAAGATTTTGTTATGGCTGAGGCGAAAAAGAAATGTGGAGTAGATGGTCAATTGGTCAGTGGTCGTTGGATGTGTGCTAGGTTGATTGTTGCAAATTAAATTGATAAAGTATAAAGTTGAAATCATGAAATTGATAAAAGTACTAAAGTTGAAATCATGAAAGGGATGAAATGTAATTCTAGTAGTAAGGATTAAGGAACGGATACTTAATGCTTTGATGTACACCTTTTGGCTTAAAATGGTTTGAGTCTTCATTTTGAGAATTTATTTTTAGAGAAGGGTACTTTTTAAAATGGTTTGAGTCTTCATTTTGAGATTTTTTTTAGAGAAGAGAATTTTTTTACCCGCCTTATACATCCAACCGGATATATGCAGTCTTATTAAATTGGGAACTTAGCCCTCCAAATAACCCAATCTGAAATTCGCTTCTATGTATATTTGAACTTAGAACTTTGAATTGCTACACATGTCACTGCAACCACGAGACTACATGCAATTTTATATCATTTTGAGAATATAACATAACAAACAAACCAGGAACATTTACTTACTTGTTAGTAGCAGGACCATTCCAGGAGATGCTTAGCCCCATGATAAACATGACAAACCCATGCAGGAATCCAGAAGAGGAATCATCAGGCAGCGCAAGGAGCAGCAAAGCCGCAAGCGGGATCGCCGAAGCTGAGCTTATCTGGGACAGAACAATCCGACCAGAATCCGGGTAGCGAACAGCCAGACGATCCCCCATCTTCCCACCCAAAAGCCCCCCAAGCGAGCTCGCCAACGCGAAGCTCGTCGTCAGAAGCCCGGTCATCTCATGCGTGAATCCCATCAGCTCCAGCCACATCGGCGCGAACGACAGCGCGGACCATGGAAATGACCCTGTGACACCCTGAGCGACGATGATCTGAAACGACGGTATCCTCACCACGGCCCTGGCTTCTACCACCAGATCCTTCATCTCCTCCAATGGCGACTTGCGAGGAGGTAGCTGATCACCACCACCGTCGTCTTGGATGTTGCTGCAGAAATGAGGATCCACCGCGAAGAGGCGAACCAACGCGCCGACGATCACGCTAATCAGAGCGACGATGTGGAACGCGACGCGCCAACCGGCGACGCCCATGATCGTCGTGGATGCTAGCATGAGGGAGAACAATCCTCCGATCACCGAACCGATGTTTCCTGTGAGCTGAAGCCATCCGAATGCGGAGCCACGGGTGGTGTCGTCGCTGCAGTCTGCCACCAGAGATTGGATGGCTGGGGTGACGAGCGCTAGCCCAACACCGTTCAATCCCCTCGCTACCGCTACCTGCTCAAAGAAATACTTCTCATTTAAACTTGTTTTCAACTATTATTCGATACGAAATACTCCCTCCATCTCTAAATATTTGACGTCGTTGACTTTTTTAAATATATTTGACCGTTCGTCTTATTCAAAAACTTTTGTGAAATATGTAAAACTATATGTATACATAAAAGTATATTTAACAATGAATATAGAAAAAGAAGTAATAATTACTTAAATTTTTTAAATAAAACGAACAGTCAAACATGCTTAAAAAAGTCAACGACATTAAATATTTAGGGACGGAGGGAGTATATATATATTGAAGAATCATAGATTTTTTTTTAAAAAAAAGTGAGGCAAACGAAATGTGAGCACATAAAAACTGGTGAAGTTGAACGCATAAATCAACATTAATCCAGGCGTTTATATTCAAACAATTAAACAATGTACTCCTAATAAAATATTTTACTTGATTGGAATATAGAAACTTCATTACTTCAAGGTACAGCTTGAACTACACCACTTGGTTGCTGACATATGACACATCAACACTTAATTTCCTGTTGGCACAACCCTATGCAATATTTTTGGAATAAGAAGCCCTATGCAGTATGGATGTCTACAATAGCCAACTGTACTTCTCCCGGAATTCGGATGAAGAGAACTTAAACCAAAGGTTCATTTGTCAAATTAGAGTTATCCTAAATAAAATTTATAAATTTGCACTGCTAATCAATGGAAAGAAATTAAGAGTTTGTGTTTGGTTTGTTGCTTTAAAAGACCTAAAAAACTTTGTTTATGCTAAAATTTGGTAAGGTTTAAAAGGGCAACAAACCAGACAGTCCCAAATATCAGCACATAACTGTGATAGATACGACAGATACTCGTTTAATAAAATGGATTTCACAGATAACCTAGCATACCTTGCTTATTTGGCTATGCTACATTAGTGTCCAAAGTTATACTCCTACCTCAGAATTGGTTACAATTCGGGTTGTTCTTTCGAGATACGAATATGCGAGACAAAATTAAGGGGGAAAAAAAACTTTTTCGCTGGCCAAGTGAACACCGTCGAAATTGTACTGAGATTTAGAGGCCAAAAGAAATAAAACAAAAAAAAGCTTCATTTGCGTTTTTCAAAGTTTGAAATTGCGCGTAGAAAGCACTGCGCAAGAAGTTGAAACTTCACATCATCCGCTTTCACAGCAATGAAGTAGAACGAAAGCGACGACACATGATTTTGTGGGTATGAACCGAACTGGCCAACCAAAGCATATACCCACGATGATCCATTGCCTGATCCCCAAAGTTTGATCAAAATTCGAGCAGATACGCAACCGAATTACATCAAATTGGAAACAAGATCAGTAACGTACGCACCGAGACAGGCAAAATCTTGAAGAAAATAGAGATGTTCTTTTTTGTTTTTTCTTTTCCGGACCTGGGCGAAGGTGTCGGAAACGGCGACGAGGAAGGTGGCGGCGGCCCAGAGGAAGGCCCCGGCGGCGACGACGTGCGCGCGGTTGTAGCGCACGGCGGCGTAGGCGGCGAGCGGGTAGCACGCCGCCTGCACGAAGGAGCGGCACAGCGTGAGCGCGCCGAGCCCCATGGGCGTCGCGTGCAGCGCCGCGCCCACCTCCCTGTACACCGCCGGCAGCAGCGCCTCGTCGGCGCGCTCCATGATCGCCGCCATGTTCACCAGCGCCAGCGTCCTCCTCCCCGCCTCCGCCTCCGCCGCCGCCATATCTCCCCCAAGGCCCAGCCCGATCACCGCCGGTGATGATCCCCCTCTTGGCCTCTTCCCCGGCGCGGCGGTGCACGCGGCTCCTCTCCGAGAGATAATTTATTTATTTATTTTATTATTTTTTGCGCGGAAATGGTCTCCGAAGTGGACAACGAAGAAGTGCCCGCGGCGCGAGATGCAGGAGGAAGAGCCGCCGACGCGATCCCCGCCGTCCGTTTCTCAATCAGCGGCCGGATCCTGATGCGTTGACCAGAGCAGCACAGCTTTGACTCAGCCCGCACCGGAGATTTCTTCTCAAGCCTCCACGTGGCCCGGAGGCATTATAACGTGATTAAACGTCAAAGAATATCCGATTCTGGTGGGCCCCACTCTCTGCCGACCAGCTCCCCCGCGCCACGTCGGACCAGTGGGCTAAGCCCAGTAATACGCGAAAAGTTTACGGCCCAGTAACTGGCATGGGCCTTCTCCTTTCCTTCCTCGTGTGGCCCAGGTACATGTGCTCTTCACAGTGGGACCCGCTAAGCCTCGTGGGTTGATGGGCCCGTACGAGAGGATACGAGCAGCGTGCGCTTTTTGGACCTTAAGGTGGGCCCAGCCCAATATGGGGCCCACGGAGAATCGTTTTTGGATCGTGGACGAACTCCAGCCCTTTTTCTCCTTTTGTTTTTTTAATGTTTTTTTTTGGGTCGAGCAGTTTGTTGCTTGCAAAGGCAAAGTTAACTTAGGTGTAGGGCACTTGCTATAACACTGAAGTGTTTTTACGTAAAGCAGAGGGGAGATGCAATGATTGTGTGCCGTGGTGATTGGACATTTTGGACGTTCATTTTGGCATTAGATCCAGCCTTTTGCATATTGGCAGTGAGCAGTGAGCTGTGAGCTGTGATCAGTGGCGGAGCCAACTGGCGGACAAGTCAGTCGTTCTGTCAGGGGTTCTCGGGCTCTCGGCATTGGCTAGTAGGGGACTAGGGGTGGGCGTTCGGTTAGACCGAAAAATTTGGTCTCGGTCTTCGGTTTTTCGGTCAGTTCGGTCTTTGTAAACTCAGAACCGAATTTCATCCAAAAAAATTAGGACCGGCAAATTCAGTCTCGATCTCGGTCTGACCGAAATTTTTCAGGAGAAAAGTTTGAAACCAAAAAAAATGACAGAGGTGGCGCTGGCGCGGTGGAGAATAGAGGTGTCGCCGGCGCGGTGGAGGGCGGAGGCGGCGGCCGCCGCGTGGTAGAGGGCAAAGGCGTCGCCGGTGCGGTGGAGGGCGGCGGCGGCAGCCGCCGCGGCGGCCGCGCGGTGGAGGGCGGCGGCAGCGGTGGCCGAGGCGCGGTGGAGGACGGCAGCGGCGGCCGCGTGGTGGAGGCAGTCAGGCCGGTAGTAGTGGTAGTGGTAGTGGTAGTGGTAGGGTTGTATCACTTCTAGGGTTCGTTTTGATGGGTTTATTGGGCTTCCTAGGCCTATTGGGCTAAAATTTCGGTCATTTCGGTTAATTCGGTTAACCGAGCCCAATAATCAAAATAAATTCGGTCTTTTGAGGGCTGGGACCGAACAGATAACCGAATTTCTCGGTCTCGATCTTTTCGGTTTGGTTCTTCGGTTTGGTCTAAATATGCCCACCCCTATTGGCTAGCGCCTAGCAGCATGAACTACTGCAGTACTGCTCCCTCCCTAACAAAAATATATACTAGTTGCTATCTAGTGGCGAATCTAGAAAATTAATTTGTTAGTGCCATAACGTATCTACTGGTGTCATAGTACGCTAATTATACTTAAAACATGCTGGTATAATATATAGATAAACAGTTTAATTATATGTTTTGTTGAAAGTCGTCGGTGTCGCCTGACACCGGCCGTTACATTGTAGATCCGCCCCTATAGCTATCTAGTATTAGTTGTTATATTTTAAAGAAGGTTAGGGAGATGTTTTTTTTATGATTTAGGGTTTGTTTGATAAGGGTGCAACTTCAGTAATACTTGTTTAGGAGAGCTGGATCAAAACCAAAAACTATTAAATCTTTAATATTTTGTTAAAAGGGGAGCATGTACATCTCCCGCACTAAATAATATTAGGAATAGCTAGGAAAGGTGGAGTTACCTTTCGCAACTTCACACATAGACATCATATTAGATTTGAAGATCTACCAAATAGACCTTCATGATACTAGATGGTTATATTTTGAGACGGACAAATAGGAGCATTTCTAAGGTTTAACTTCTTTTTTTTTACAAATTTAAATGTTTTTTAAGCATTGTTTTTCAATCCATCCGGTTCAACTGTATCGTTGGGCACGGTCTTCTTTAATTAATTTAAACTTCTATAGACATCTATTAACTTAATAAATACATAGAAAAGAAGATAAATTCAGAAATTCTCATTTTAATCGGAGAGAAAGAAACAAAGGAGAGTCCAAATGAAAATACAGTTTATAATATGTGAAAATCAGATTAAAAAGAAAGGGGAAAAAAGGAGTCCAAGTAGAAAAACAATCTAAAATATCTAAAATCCAGATTTTTTTTTTAAAAAGGGAAAAATGGAAGTGTCCAAATAAAAATACATTTTTTTGAAAGAAAATAAAAATCTAAAACCGGATTTTTTAAAAAGAAGAGTCCAAGCATAAACACAATACAGGTTAAATAAATTTTGGAATAAAAATAAAAACAAGAGTCATTTTCTTATGTGAATGAACCATATAGACTATCAGGCATATGCAACTGATAAGGAGAAAATTGCATATGTACCATCGCAAAAGATTGGATTCGCTGGAATACCATCGCTTAAACAGGCTTCGCTATAATACCACTCCTAACCAAATCGTGTATGCTGAAATACCATCCTGGACCGATTTACCCTCAGGTTTCTTCTTCCTCCATCCAACTCCTCGTCTTCGTCGTCACCAGTGGCCATGGTGGCGGCGAGGAGAACTGATGGAACGAGCTCGCCGGCCGACGGCGGCGAGGAAAACCAAGGGAGCTCGGCGGTCGGCTGCGGCGAGGAGAACTAAGGGAGCGAGCTCGGCGACTGGCGGTGGGAGCGTGTGGGCGGCGGCGGTCGTTGCACACGATTGCGGGAGCACATGGGCGACGGCGGGAGTGCAGGTGCTGCGGCAGTCGTCGTACGCGGCGACGGGAGCGCGTCGGTTGCGGAGGTCGTCACACGCTGTGGCAGGAGCGCGTGGGCAGTGGAGGTCGATGCACGCGGTGGCTCTCGACGGCAGTTGTCGCGCGCGGTCGATGAGAACACGTCCGCCTCCGCTGTCCTCACCAACCCCACCGCGCTCCGCCTGCTCTACCCCAAGCACTTCGCGCGGCTACCCAAGGATGCCTCTGCCACCACTGCTCCAGTCGGCCGCACGCGACGACCGCCGCCGGCCGGCGAGCTCGCTCCCTCGGCTCTCCTCGCTGCAGCCATAGCCACCAGTGACAAGGAAGTTGAGGAGTTGGAGTGAGGAAGATGAAGCCCAAGGGCAGATTGGTTCATGATGGCATTTCAGCGTACACGATTTGGTTAGGAGTGGTATTCTAGCGAAACCCGTTTAAGTGATGGCATTCCAGCGAATCCAATCTTTTGCGATGGTACATATGCAATTTTCTCACTGATAAGTGGAAGAATGTCACCAAATATGGTGAAAAATATATCAAATATTAGTCTGAAGATGGAGGAAAAGAGCGAAACGAATATTGCATAATTTTAATATATTTGATCTATTCTATCATTAAGCAAATCCTGGAAGAGCCATCTTGTTTGCTTTATGGGGACGGAAATTGTCTTAGTTGGAATATGAAATGCAAGAACTTTAATCAATTTCGACAAGAGTTTAAATTGTACTGTCATTTTCAATATTTTTGTTTTACATTAAAGTGTGAAAATTTATCTATAATTTTTAACAATAAAGTATCCTATTATATACAAAATATAACGCTAGTCGCGTAATTTGTACGGGCCACTACGCTAATCAAAATGATTTGGCTTAACCTTAATTTTCGTTAAAATCCTATAAGTAGTGGTCAAGGGTGCATCCAACATGGAGACGGCGGGGTCTCGAGCCCCTACTACTGACCTGAAGACCATAGGAGCCCGCACAAAGCCTCTACCAATTTTTTTTATCATATGTGTAGGATCGTAAAGGGCCTTTCCCACCCCAAAAGCTAGCAATCTTAGGTCCTTTGTCCTTCCTTCACACATTGGTATCCCTCAGCCCCCCTTCAATCTTAGGTCCTTTGCCCTTCCACAACTAATGTGAGAGACTATTCAATAATCTCCCCCTTTACACATTGGTATCCCTAAGCCCTTCACCGTATCCGGGCCCCCACCGGGGAAGTATCTCTCAGCCCCCCTTCAATCTTAGGTCCTTTGCCCTTTCAAGCCCTTCACCGTATCCGGGCCCCCACCAGGGAAGTATCCCTCAGCCCCCCTTCAATCTTAGGTCCTTTGCCCTTCTACAACCAATGTGGGACTATTCAACAATCTCCCCCTTCACACATTGGTATCCGTAAGCCCTTCACCGTATCCGAAGTATCCCTCAGCCCCCCTTCAATCTTAGGTCCTTTGCCCTCCAACAACCAATGGGCCCCCATCAGGGAAGTATCCCTCAGCCCCCCTTCAATCTTATGTCCTTTGCCCTTCCACAACCAATGTGGGACTATTCAACAATCTCCCACTTCACATATTGGTATCCCTAAGCCCTTCACCGTATACGGGCCCCCACCGGCCCACGGTCCCCGCAGGCACCCACGGTCCATCAGGCCTTCACACGTGTCCATCGGACCAGAGATGTTAACCTAGCCTGGCTCTGATACTAATTGTAGGATCGTAAAGGGCCTTTCCTACCCTAAAAGCTAGCCATTGAGGTGAGGGGCTCCCCACTTATATCTTAGATCTTTTGCCCTTACACAACCAATGTGGGACTATTCAACAGAGTGATCACTGATCACATAACCTTAAATATGCCAAAAATACTTTAATACAAACGGGGTGAAAACTAAAAAGGGTCATGAAAAGGACGGCTTGAAAACACGAGATGCCGATCTGCCTTTCATGTAAAGTGGCCAAGCGTTTTTCCGGCTAAGGTGATGTTTCGAATCATCCTTTGCGGCTCGCCGGAAAAATTGGCATTCTGAAGCAAGCAGGAGATGCGTGCGTGCTCTGTAGAAAAAACTA